ACACACCCATATGTCTTAATTTTCAAAGCTAATTTTAGTGGTCCCCCCTCTGAATCTTTCCAAAGTTTTCAGCGATGGCTTTTGGGTTCTCAGTTATGACTGATCCCCCCTTTCGTTCTCCCAGAAACCAAGTGTTCATCCCCTGAATCCCCCCCCCGCCCCCGCGGGCGAGGAATAATGACCGGTCCTACAAGTTGCAGAAGCATTGATGATTTCGCCAAGATTCCAACTGCCTTTCCTGTCAGTCAGTAAAACTAAGAGGAATCCTAACATGGTGTCAGAAAATCTATTCTAAGCTATGTTGGTGTTCGAAATACGCCTCACGTGCGGCAGGACTTTTCCACTGGTGGCGGGTAAACTGGTTCTAAGTCAAGATTTCGTGAAATCGACTTTTTGAAACAAAAGGTACGATACCCTCACATCAAAAAGTGCAAACCATTAAAAAAAAAAGAAGTCCAGAAAATGAAAGAAAAAATAAAAAAGCCTAGCTATACTTTAGTGATATTTGTTCTGCGCCTTATCTCTTGCTCGAGATAGTTTGAGTAACTCATAAAAATTAAAGTACTATTTATTCTGAGGCCATATCTGACCGTGTGTCAGATTTTTGACATTTAGTGCGTTTGTACTTTTGTTATAAGTTAGTCAAGTTAGCATAAACTTTTGCATGGAAAAATTACTATAACCCAAACTCGAAAAAAAAGAGATCATGATCAAAAATCGTTGACACGTTTTTTTTAGAAGAACTTTCTGGAAGTAGGTTGACTAAATCTTTGCCAATTTGGTTCACGGTTCCCGACTTGTAGTTTAAAATGTACAAAATTTTAATTTCGAGAAAACCAGAAAATAGTTTCTTCCTATAACGAGACTGTAGCAGAATTATAGCAACAAAGCTGTCAATGTTAATGCGTACTAGGAAGGAGAAGGAGACGGAGAAGGAGCAACAATAGGTAGGTTTTTGACACAGCATGGAAACGTTTTCGACGCATTTGGCGTCTCGGGCGCGAATTGATATCTTTTATATTTAACCGTTAAGAATACTTGATTTAAATCAGTTTACTACTTTAAAATACTGATAAGGATGGCAATGATGCCGCATACTATGGAAAAAACCTGAGCTACGAAACGGAAAGCTAGTGTTATTGTTAAAAACATGCCGGTAAACAGTTGGGGAAGTGCAACCAGCTTTTGCCTTGATATGGAAGAAAAAACAAACTAGACAAACAAGATCTTTTCCCCTTTGTGTAGACAATTACCAACAATTAAGAAAGAAAGGACAGTTAGCAGTGAATTGCATGTGGTTATCATGTGAGTGGTGTCGTGATATATATATGTGGCAATCATTGAAATTTTTTATAATAAGGATCGAACCATCTTTTGCGCTTAAGTCTCCGCGGAAATTAATTTTTTTCTGATTTTTTTCAATTTTTTAATAACAGTTTTAAATGAGCTCTATCTCGTCATCTAAAAGTTGCAAATTTCAAAAAATATTATGAATTTTTACCATGGACGATACCTTACTGAAATTTAACATTACTAAAACGTCTGATAATGGTTTTAAGAAGTTTCTATTTTAGCTCCCGATAACTCGAAATTTTTTTGGTTTCCCTTGATGGTTCGAGTTATCGAGAGTCTACTGTATACCAATTATCAATTACACTATAACAAGAGATAATTACAGTCATTTTGCGTGCAGAGGTAAATGATGCGATGTTTGACACTTTAACCACACTTCAGTCGGCCTCACATTGTTAAACATTCTCATCGTAAATCGTCACTATGAGTCTTATTTGGGTTCTAATATATTCTTCGTTTTGGTTTTTGTAATATTGAGTACAGTTTATCGTTTTCTCACGTAGATTAAGTAGTGTGTCATCGCTCAAAGCGGGGTCATGAGCTCTGTTCTGGAAGCATATTTTGCCATGTTTGATCTTGCTTATACATCTTTATAAGGCTACAATAATAACGTTGAGCTAGTGTGCAAGTACACCCTCTTTGTTTTCTTGATATGGTAGCTTTTAATTTTAATTTTGTTTGAGAAGCTGGAGGAAATTCTTAATCAATTGTTTCTTGTGATCTCTTTTCTTTCAAGATTTACGAGCATAGGGCCAAAGAGATACATCCTCAACAACAGATAACTCATTATTGTCTGATACAATTGTTTCTGAGATTTGGTAAACATGCTGTACATATTATTAAATTTTATGAAGTTAAACTATTAAGAAGGAGAATAAAAAATGGGCTGTGTATAAAAGTGGGACGGAGACAAGTGGACGGGGACATCGGGACGCGTGTGTGGGGACTTGTGACTCGGGGACGCGAGACGAGGGACTTGAGGACATCAAGAATGGGACGCGGGGACGTGTGGGACGGAGACGCCGGGACGCCAAATACAGGGACGCAGAGGACGCGGGATGTGAATAGTTATTCCAAAAGTCGTGCCATACTTGATGTCCTCAAGTCCTTCGTCTCGCGTCCCCAAGTCCCAAGTCCCCACACACGCGTCCCGATGTCCCCATCCCCTTGTCCCCGTCCCACTTTTACACACAGCCTAAAAAATGTCAGCTTATAAATGTAGTAAAAGAATCAAAGTAGCTGTTGTCCTACATAGTATTTTTAAGTACATACGAAACTAACCTTTGACTGCAAGCCTGACTGATATCTTTTTTAGCAGAGAGCAAATTAGTTGACTTTTAGTTTTTCTATTTTTCCAGATTGCTTATTCAGAGACTTTGAAAATCAATCAGATCTGTTACTCTCTAGGGTATTTATATATTTTAACAGTTTTTTGTACATGTCTTCTTCACTTCTATATGTGTAGGCTACCCTGTTGCCAAAAGAAATTTGTATTTGTTTACTTTATGTTGACATACAATTGCAATCTTTGTGTGTCGAAACAAATATTTTTTCCCTACCTTTTCCTGACCCAATAAGGAAGCTATCAGTACATCAGTGGGGACTTTACGAACCAGAACGCGACGCAGCCTGAAACGTCACCGGAAGTAATTTGCTCACAAAGTGTTCCACCGCGCATGCTTGGCGCTAAACTGCAACGCGTCTTCTTCACGTTCAGAACACGAGGTTGGCACTTGCAGCGTTTCCAGAAAACGTGAGTAGTTTCTACTGAATTTGACCTAGAATTAAATTTTCTTTTGCTACCTTATAGGCAAAACTGTTTTTCTAAGTTCATGAAAATGTTATTTATTGTAAAAAAATACCAAACAAACATTTTAATTTGCCTTTTACTGCAGGTCAATTGGTTACCGCTATGATGAATGGACAACACGCAGACCCGCCGAGTTCGATACTAAAGTCGAAAACTAGCAAGTAAGTCCAATATAGTTTATTAGAAGATTCGATTTCCTGTCCTGCTTAAATATAAGATTAAAGTGAGTTTAACTTTATGTTTTTGTTCTTCATTGAAAACAAAGTAAAGCAGACTGTTCTTTTTNGCGCATGCTTGGCGCTAAACTGCAACGCGTCTTCTTCACGTTCAGAACACGAGGTTGGCACTTGCAGCGTTTCCAGAAAACGTGAGTAGTTTCTACTGAATTTGACCTAGAATTAAATTTTCTTTTGCTACCTTATAGGCAAAACTGTTTTTCTAAGTTCATGAAAATGTTATTTATTGTAAAAAAATACCAAACAAACATTTTAATTTGCCTTTTACTGCAGGTCAATTGGTTACCGCTATGATGAATGGACAACACGCAGACCCGCCGAGTTCGATACTAAAGTCGAAAACTAGCAAGTAAGTCCAATATAGTTTATTAGAAGATTCGATTTCCTGTCCTGCTTAAATATAAGATTAAAGTGAGTTTAACTTTATGTTTTTGTTCTTCATTGAAAACAAAGTAAAGCAGACTGTTCTTTTTTTTGCGCAGTACTGTGATGTACCTGGACAAGCGAGCACGATGTCCTGTTATGCAGAGAGGTTGCTTCCGAGAATCCGTTCAAAACAAGAAAGGGTTCGTCGCAAAGAAGCGAAAGTTGGGATAGAATAGCCAACACTCAGTGAATACCTGTCCCAAGCCTGTCTTTGCTGTGGATAAAAGGTCCGTAAGGGATCATGTGGGTATTGTGAAATGATGAGGCTAATGCAAGAATAACAACAACAGCAGCAACAGCAACTCTTGGCGTCACAACAACTGAGGTTGAGACAGCAACAAGACCAAACTAAAGCACTGATGAGTTTGTTGGACAAACTTGTGAAGAAATAGCTACCTAATTCACTTAAATTCACCAGTATTGCTGGTATAGCTGTCGCTTGATTTTGAAAACCAGTTTGTATATTGTAAACTAGCCTGAGATCATGCCCTCTCCCTATTAAAACGCCTGATCTCAGGTTAATTGTCTTGTCTTTGTTTTGACAAGAGTCACGACGAACGTTTTCTGTCAGCGATCAGTGTTTGTATTTCAACAGTGGCATCGCATTTTTCTTGTGCCGAGGAGCCCGCCTTTTGTAATGTTCTATTCTTGCAGTTATCTCATTGGATGGTGGCATATTAGAAAATATTTTTTTGTCTAGAATAGTTGAATAATTTTTTTGAAAATTTGCATTCTGTTTCGTAAACTGCAATAAAATTCTGTATTTACAGTCTGCTATAAAAGGAACTGGTGATTCTTTATGTGTTCGAAAACAGGTTTTTAAAAACCTCCCTAGGATAAAAAGGGCCGGGGAATCTAGGGGAGGGAGTATGTTGAGGCCAAATATTAAGCTCACATTTCTAATTTTAAAATCTCTCTTGTAGGGTTAACAGTACTCTTCGCTAAAATCAGTCTAATGACTAAGACACAATCAAGTTGTATTGAAAAAATTGTGAGTTGTATTTCAGTCCGAAGGCTGTGGTCATTAATAAATAAAAAGCAGGATAAGGGGTAGGGGCGGGTGGTCAGTAGGTTGCAGGCATTACAATTTTATGTTATATATTGCATTAGACTCGATATATTTTTCTATGACTTTTCCTCCTTCCCCGTTGCGTTATAATGACCACAGTGCAAATCTATAGCTGTACAACCTTTTGAAAATGAGTAATAAGAACGCCATTGGGGCATTTCATTATGTCTGCAATATCAAGAACTTCTCCGAGTACATAAATATCGTTCTTGAAAAACCGAAACTCAGCCTTACACTCATCATCTGTCATCAGGGGCGGATCTAGGGGAGGGTGCAGGGGGTGCGCACCCCCCCCCCCCCCCCCCCATTGTAGAATACAAGAGAATTCTTGGGTTCCTAAACAACCACTCCTAATTTTAAAAAAAACCCTTCCCGTATAAAAACCAAAATTTTTCAAAAATTTTTCCCAATTTCCCAAAACCCCAAAAGGGTAAAAACCACCCCCCACCCCCCCGGGGGGCGGAATATCCCGGGGGGGGCCCCCCCCCCCCCCCCCACCTGAGATAACCTGCGGTTTTCTAATACAACTGGTATTCTGCAAACCCCCTCCTAAAAAAAAAAATCCTGGATCCGCCCCTGTGTCATAGAATCAAGATCGAAGCGACCATACTTCCAATAAGGAAAGTCGAGATTTTCAGAACAATTTAAATCGTACAACAGGGCAAACTCTGTATCATAAATGCTTCCATATTGATAGGCAAACAATAAAGAATCCCTTAACTCCCTGAATGTTGCCATTTATGATATATAACGAAAATGTGTTTAGCAGAGTTTAAAGGATTTGCACAGCTCTGCCACACAGGCAGTGTGGTTTCCCATAACATATTTAGTAGTGAGGGCAACGAGTAGGCATACCGCAGATTTTCAAGTCCTGGCTAATATGAGTATCCAATATTACTTTGTATAGATGAGGAGGCAGATATTATCACAGACCGCGAAACCAGGGGGCTGTGAGGGCTTTAGCCATAGCCTCCCTCACCTAAGCTTCCCCAGTCAGTCTGCCCCTCCCCCACTGAGAATAATGTTCTACCATCCCTAATTATTGAAGGAACTAGTGTGGAGTTAAGTGTGTTTCTATGCTCCGGCTGAACTGATTTTATTAAGGGGTTATTGTAAGTTGTCAACAGGTGCGGTTCTTAGAAGCATCAAACAACAATACAGTTAAAACCTGCGACTAAGAATCTGCATATTTCCTTAGTAAGTTAGCCCCGCTAAACAGGTTCTTAAATAAATGGTAATTAGCACAAATTTAGGCCCCTGGGTCTCAGAGGATGGGTTCTTATTTTGTGAAGGAAAAATAGATTCAGGCTAAGACTATTCAGTCGTATTCAGCTTATTCCGTACATAAAATATGCATACCATGACAATTATTGTAGTACGATAGGCATAGGCAGTGATAAGGCACCTAGCTGCATCTCTAAAGAGGACCCTGAATGTTGACATATCTTATTTGCCCAAGAGTACAGAATTTTCTTAAACAGATTTTAGAAAATAGGAACCTGTTTGTAAATATTAGGTTTAACAGGTTCTTAAAGGGGGCCTAACAGGCAAATTTTAGCCTAGCAGGTTCTTAACAACCAGGTTATTTAGTTGCAGATGTTTACTGTATTATTTTTTTGTGCTTTTGGTCAGGGACATTTCCTATCTTGATCTTGAACAGTGGGTATTTGAAATATTGTTTATTCAGTCACCTGTTAATGTAACTTTATGATGGAGGAAATGGGGTCATGCATGGCTGGGACCTCGCAGCGATGTAAAAGAAAAAAAGGGAACTCAAATGCTGAAATGCAAGTGTGGTCATTATTCAAATCAAGAGAGGATAAAGGGGACAGAGAAGGCATCCCCCATACACAGCCTATTCTATAGGTAATTCGTCTCGAGTTATTTTTAAGACCACAGATCCCAAGGGGGATTAGACAACAGCCAATCACATAGTGCGAATGTGCTCAGAGCCACGCGTCCTTTACGAATTGACGAAGAAAAAAAGGGCGGAAGACGCGGAGAGCGATACTGCCATTCGTTTTGTCGACGAAAACGTCTAAAGAGAGATTTCTACTAAAGCACTGTCAGCGAAATGGAAATTAGAAAAGAACCGCCCTTCCTCTCTTGTATAGAGCTAACAGTACATCAGGGAAATCCTTAACACACTGAATATTCTCTTAGGATCATTTATAATTTACAGTTTGAAGAGAGCAATTTCTGGTTTGATATTTATTCATTTATTAGTCTTTTATTATTCAACAAAAATAACACTTGGCGTCCTACTTGTTTTATTGTACAAACGACCGGTTTCAATAGACCGGCGAAATTTCTCATTTTATTAAAGCTCTGAGGTTACGGCAACTTCGATTTAAACTGATTTTCACGGCTAGTCAAAGAGTCCAGCGATTCCCGTTTCCCAGGTGAGCGCCGACTCATTTCGCTTCAATATTCAGAAATGCTCGCGATCTCTTTACGCTTTCATTGCCTTTCGCCCGACATGTTTTGCACGACGTTTAATCATGCGAAACCTCTACGAAACATCCACGCAGCGCGCGAGGTAACTTTATCCCGATTCTAAAAATAACTCGAGACGAATTACCTATGGAATAGGGTGTGTATGGGGGATGCCTTCTCTGTCCCCTTTATCCTCTCTTGTTCAAATACATAGTGATACTGAGAAAGCGTATCATTGGAAGTGCATGTGATTTACTTTTCTATTTGGGAAGCCCGGCCATATCGACAATTCTAAAAGTAATAAATTTTTGTGAGGAATTTACTCAGCGTTTTCTTGTCTCAAATTGTGCAGTAGTCCAGTCAAAGAGAAAACTTACGTTCGCCAAAGCTGTGTTGTATGTAACTTGCATCCATTCAGTTCAATAATACACCTTTATTAAGGACTTGAGGAAGTCTTCAAGAATCGAAATATAAGCTTACTTAGCTTGTAAATTACAAACAAGCAATCCAAAGAATGAACTCCAGCGGACCATCAATCAATTAAAACATAGACCTTAATCAGATCATAATTAAGCCGCTTATTAATATCGTTTATGTCACTACTAGGGTAGGTAATGCTTGTATCGTCGGCATACATTCTCGGTTGAGACTACGAAGATAATTGGGCGAGTCATTTTTGAACAATAAAAATAACTAGGTGCCTAAAATAGCGCTTTCCACTTATTGGGAAATATCCTCCTATTAAGTGACAGATTAAATAGACACGACAATGATTCAGAAATCAAATCAGGACCTTCTCAGTCTCAGAAGCTTGGTAGAAACATTGTCAAGACCTCTAACTTTCGATTTACAAAGTTAAAATAATAAAGAAAAAATGGTAACTTGGTCAATTTCATGAAACGAGAAAACGCTGTCTGTTAATTGTAAAATCTTTGAGTTGATATACCGAATACCTAATTGCCTTGAAAATGAACACTATTTATAAAATAACTAAGATAGTGCGCGCGCTCTGATTGGCCGAGAGGAGTGTTTGCATGAGAGTATGTAAGCATGGTTGTGACGTCAAGAAGTTTTGTTTTTCGCGCGCTAATCACGCAAGCACAATTTGAAAAAGTTTTTGAGTTCGAAGCTCGACAAGTTTACTATATTTACATATTCCTTCGTCAGCTGAAACTTGGAACATCTTTACAGACAAGCTGTGTCAATTTTGTTTTCGCTTAAGCTTAAAATCCGTATTTTGGAAAGCATCCTTTTGCAAAACAAGAACTGATTAAGCGTGCAAGCCTTTGTGTACACGACTTTGCGAGTGGTAAGAATTTCTCTTTTTAATCAGTGCCATAACAAAGAGTTTTGCGTTTTTCTCGGGAAAGTTATTTTATAAAAGCAATAGAAAACTTTTTTTCCTGTTTTTGCATAGCCTGATATAAACACTCGAGGGGTTGGGAGAATTCTCAACGGTTATGCAAACCCTGGACTTCGTCTCGGGTTTGCATAACTGTCTCGAATTGTCCCAACCCCTCGGGTGTTTATTTCAGGCTAGGCAAACACGGAAAACGTTTTCTATTGCTTAAATACCATAGTTAGTAGAGGAGATCTGGTTAGGGAAGCCGGCAAACATCAAAGTTGAAAACAACTGCGCTGCGGTTTATGTTGAAATTGAAAGCTCTCTTACTGTGTTTTTTGTTAGTTCAAAAATTGTGACTGAAGAAATAGTGGTAAGTAAGTTCAAAATGATAGGAATTCTATAAAAAATTTAACGTTGTGCACCGTCAGGTCCAAAAAAGTTAACAAAGAAGTATGACAAGAGTCTAACGGGTTTCATAACCATTCCACTTTAATAAGTACTTCAAAATGGTGTGAAAATGATTTTACGATTATTCTTTTAATTTAATAGAAATATGAGCTTAATTATATTATAATAATTTTTTCTTTCTCTTAGCGATAATAATAAAGATATGCTATATTAAGCACTCTATTGCGTGCAGACTACCCAGATGCGATGGAGGCATGGAGCACTCTATCTCGCGCAGGAAGCTACACTAGGAGGAGAATAGACAAAGCAAACGAAAAGCGCAGAAAATAAAACTAACCACTTTCCACAACTTTCATTGAAGTCTATTACTGAAATTTTGCCGCGAATTTTTGCGTAGTTTCTTAATATAGCTTTTGCTTATACTTCCTTCCCTTGTTGTGTTAAACTAACGGGAACATACCTACTTCCCAGGGCAATGAATTACATCGAAGGACTCAAACAGATGATAACATCTCGTCTCAATTGAAAGAATTAAGCAAAAGGAAAACTTGTCCTGGATTAGAAGCTTTGATTCATCCCTGACAGTGATCATCAGAATAAAAACTGTGCGCAGGACTTTGGATTCAATATCATATTTATATTGCAAATTTATTAAGTTCACGCAGTTCCCCTCCATCAAGAGGCTTACGCAACCGCGAGGACCACTAAACATTGACGTCAAAAAAGCGATTGGCTTCATAAGCAAAACAGCAACTTTGAGTGTGCATTACTTCTTTGAACATATTTCTCTACTGTCCCCGGCCTGTACACCTACCACGTGACTTGAAATCTCATAATGCATTTTTAGCCGTGTTTTCAACAAATAAACACAGTGTCGACGAGAAGGATGCAACCTTGCACTCAAGGAAAATTTACCTAAATGTGACGGATAAGCAAGTGATCGCAATGAAATTTAAAAGATCACAAATACATTTTAGTGACGTTTTCACTCAGCTTTCGATTTCATCGTGGTGGTTGTGTTGTCTCCCTAATAGAGGGGTACCTGATTTACGGTAACGAGGGCTCTGGGAACCGCAGCGATCACTGAAGATCTAATACTGGTACTAGAGTATTGTTAATTGGGCTAAATTTTCACCCTGGTAACATCAGAAAGTCGCCGTCATTAGTTCCACCACCTCCACCGACTGGACGGGCTTGACGGGCTTGACGAGCTTTCCAGAAAATGAATACAAATTCAGCCACTGCTACGCAAAGTACTACTACAAAGGCGACTTTCCAACCTGTGGAGGAATAGTAGAGAAAATGCCCGGGATAAATATCACTACCATTATACGAACAAGCTGTCTCCTTGGGATTCCAAGGGCAGCATATGAGCTTAGCTGGTTGGTACTTCAGTCGCATCCGTCTACAACGGCCGCTTAAGGACAGCGGTAAGTTACCGTTGTAGAGACTAAGATGACCGAGGGAAATTACGTACACTATAGAGGTGTGTTGTGACACTATTTTATTTTATTTATTTATCTATTTATTTTTTGCGTGGAGATGTTTATGAATATTTTACTTTTTAGTGGAGCATTCGCGCGCGCGAAGCGCGCGCAGCGGATCCCCATAGCTATAGAAAATGAAGACCAATCGATGCCGGAAAATTTGGTTATGACGTCAGCGTACGTCATACGTCGTCCGTACAGACTCTAAGGTAGGGGTGAACAATTCAGCAGGGCAGAGAAGAGAGTCCCAGACATACACGTTGCGTTTCGTTTTAGCGCAAAGTTAACCATTTTAGGGGCAACTAACGGAGTTGCTCTGGTAAAAGTCTTGTGTTCAGCTTAGCACAAAAATTTTGGAAAGAATTGTTGTGGAAAAAAATTTCTAAGGCTTTACTTTTTGCTTGGAAACAGGACCCAATCGACTAAAATTAGCAAGTTATTAAGACGCTTTAAATTAATACGTCTTCCGTATTTGTGGGTGACAAGAGGAGCCAGCAATCCTAATCTCCAGGTTGTTAATACGCCAGCGTCGCGTTTATGTAGCCAGAATTCGTTGAGACTTCCACTTAGAATGTATTGAATGCACAGAACGCACTTTTATCACGCACGTTTGGACCTTCTATCACTCGTAATCTGATCACGCGTTTTTTGACCATCTGTCACGTGAAACGTACGAAAAGCACAACGCTAAAGCAAAAGCGTTTTGACCTTAGATCGTTGTCGGCCGCACATAACCTTTGGTTATTACTAGTCTTTATATAAAATGTTTATCCTAATCAGTAATCCATTGTTTCAGTCATGCAATCTCGTATTTCCTCTGATACTGAATTCAAATTTAAACCTTCCCCTGACCTTTAAGTTTGTTGAGTTTTAACGGGTATAAAGGTCCTTACACGTGATTGAACTCGCGAAGTCTATTGGCACAATATGCCAAGTAGACTGAATATCAGTTATAAGTTTTTGATTTGCTCTAAATCACATCAGTTGTAAAGGTTCAAAATCACATCATTTCTCATTCGCCTTTAAAATGAGTTTTAAAAGCGTTTCCGGGTCCACTTTTTAACAAACCGGCTGCTGGATCAAGAAAATATTAGTACTGACTAAAATCCTTTATTTGGGCAACTGAATTGTGCGGTTTAAAAAAGGATGTAATAAAGTGGTAATCGGAACTTCGTGTCGTGCAATTCTGGTCCAAAATCGTACGATCTAGTACTTTCAAGTCAAAATCGTGCTGCCCTCTCGCTTTCGAAATCGCGTGATTAGATTTACAACCATGAAATATAACTTTGACTGAGGGGACCATACCTACCTGTGTGAGGGGGAGCAGAGTAGTAGATCTGCCATGAATACTCTAAAACGATACTGACGCCGTGAATGTAGGTTTTTCAAGCACTTTATAATAGAGGATAGAAATAAGGGTTTAACATGGAAATGGGGAATCATTTAAGAAAAAAAAAACGATGAATGGTTTTCAACAACTTTCACCACGAAAGCATTAGCAAATGGTTGTCGTTAATATTACGTCTGGGATACAGCAGGGATTTTGGTGCCTACATTATAGGGTTGATTAGTGCAACTGAACATTAGTCCTAGTAGCACACAACCATTAAAAGATTCCCGCAGTAGCCCTCTCTCCTCGGTGTTCTACATCATACCACCCATAGCAAGTAATATTTTTAACATATAGATTTACCCAGGGCTAAAAGTGCAAATTTTCTTAGCCATAGGGCTACGCTAAAACATACTCCGCCCCCGACGGGCTGGCTCCTGACTCCCTTCTACCTCTCCCAGAGTCTGTTACGGTCAGCGTTCGGTCGTACGATGACGTCATAACCAAATTTTCTCGGATGGATAGATTACCAAATTATCTTAGCTATAGAGTTCTAAAGTGTGACGTCATAAAAAATAAATTTGTGTTTACCTAGCAGTGAATTGCAAGGCTTTGCGTTTCCTGATGCATCGATACTGTTACTGTGGATTTTGGGGCTGCTTGCGTTTATTCTGGTTTGGAGGCATGTTTCGGCTGTTGGTGGAATCAAAGGATAATTTATTCATTTATTAGCAGTAGTAAGTAAAAAAGAAAAACGACAGAGCACAGCTTCTGGTTAGCTTATGTTGAGAGCCGTTTAGTGTTCGCAGGCCAGGTATTAGCTTTGTGACAGTTGGGATATGGTGAATGAGGCATGGTACACTAAAAAATCTGGGTCATTAATAATACTTTGCGCGATGATTCACTAAAAAAATATAACAAGTTGAATTATTTACGACATTTTGTCGTGGCGCAACTGAATGTTGTCCCTCAATAGCACTATATATTTAAAAACTAAAAAGAAGGGGTCTAACTTGTCCCTGCCAAACATGCTTTAATTCCATGTAGAAGACTTTCTTACCCTGTGGATTACCTGAATAGCAATATGGCAAACCTCTTAATTGGTTTGTTTGTTTGTTTGCTTTTGTCTATTTTTTTTCTGTGTGCACGTTGTTCTGTTAAATGAGGAACTCAGCATTTTGCTTTCACCTGTTAATCTGAAAAACGTATAATTATATATTGACGAATGCTATAATTTTTATCATCTAAAGCAATGAAACTTAGATCTAATTAAGTACTTAGCCAAAAAAAAGCTATTGAGGACTTTTTTACCTTCATTTTCATAGAAGGAAAGCAATATGTGTTCTGGGTCCAAGTTCCTTGTACTACCCACTTCGCTTCGGTATTCCGTATAATTATCGGCGACGGTCACATTTTTGATCTCGAGAATGCCATTATTGAACAAGGTGTATAACGCATCTGTGCCGTTGTAATAGCGGATCACTCCCTTGTTATTCATTTTGGCTATCCTTTGCCAGATATGATCATGCCTTGAATGGCAGTGGGCAATGCACTTATGCCAAGTCAAGTGGCTATATTCCTCTTGGAGATACAGGGCCATTTGGAACGGGTGAGAGGATATTCTGTTTGGACCAGGAACCACTGGCCATAAAATGGGTGCACTGTTTGTCCTCCTCTTTTTACTTGCTACTCGATAAGGAAATAAATAGTAAAGATACAGTTGAAATCCTCCTTATGAAAAACTCTCTAATATGGAAAACTCTAGATTTTTTTTATGAGTAGTTCTCTTGGTCTCAAAGATCTAAAAGATACCAACTTTCATACTTTTACTACCTCTTTAGTAATAGCACCTCTGAAATCTGCCTCTTTTGTTTTCGTAAGAGGTTTGACAGACTGTATACAATAAATGATTTGTGAAATTGTGAAATTTTCTCAGCAATGATAGCATAGTGAGAGAAATACGAGAGTGCACGTGACAAAATTGCAACCGTCACTGAATGTGACACAGGGAACAGAAGTACGCATTCGTGTATTTCGTTCGCTCGCTTTCTCGCATAGACAATATAGGCAATAAACCGCGCGTGAAAACACAGTCGTGAAAGTCAGTTATTATCAAGCAAATAATGACCTCAGTGAACCTCCTCTTATTTTTAAATGGTGTCATTGTGTTTCCAACGCCTTACACCCGTGACAAGGGCTAGTTTGGCTTGTCGAAATATGATAAAAGTTATGAAACTAAATTCATCTCCCCAAGGTAATGTATTTTGTACAATACAGTAATTTAAATTTTGCCCCTCCTGGAAAGTCTTCCAGTCTTATACTGATTTTTCCATACTCTCTCATTTTCTAAAAACACAGATTAAAGTACAAATCTTATCCAATCCAGTGCATAAACGTCTTTTTTTTTTTCATTCTTACATGTACATGTGCTGTAGTTGTTTTGAACTTTGCTGTTTGTTGTTTCTGTAGAGCAAGTCTAGTTCAGCCACTTAGGCCCCACTGTTTATGTGGAGAAAATTTGTCCCTGGTAGAATGTTCTTTTGGTCTACCCGAGCAAAATTGTAAAAATTTCCCGGAAAAAATTGCCGATTAGTGTTCGCAGACCTGGTATTAGCTTTGTAACATTTGGGATAGGTGAATGAGGTATGGTAGACTGAGAAATCTGGGTCATTAATGTCACCCTGACAGACAAAGACTCACTAAGAAACATAACAAGTTGAATTTCATTCTTTATGAAATTTTGTCGTGGCGCAACTGAATTTTGTCCCGCAATAGCAATATTTAGAAAACTAACAAAGACGAGGTCTAACTTGTCCCTACCAAACATGCTTTATTTCCATGTAAAAGACTTTCTTACCCTATGGATCACCTGAATAGCAATGTGGAAAACTTCTTTGTTTTTCTTGGTGTTTTCGGTTTGTTTGTTTGTTTTTGTCTGTTTGTCTGTTTTCTTTTTTTTTTTTTTCTGTGAGCACGTTGTTTTGTTAAATGAGGAACTCAGCATTTTGCTTTCACTTGTTGATCTTAAAAAACGTATAATTATATACTGACGAATGCAATAATATTTATCATCTAAAGCAACGAAACTTAGATCTAGTTAAATACTTAGCCAAAAAAAAGCTATTGAGCACTTTTTTACCTTCATTTTCATAGAAGGAAAGCAATATGTGTTCGGGGTGCAAGTCCCATGCACTACGCACTTCGCTTCGGTATTCCGTATAATTATCGGCGAAGGTCACATTTCTGATCTCCAGAATGCCATTATTGAACAAGGTGTATAACGCATCTGTGCCGTTGTAATAGTGGATCACTCCCTTGTTATTCATTCTGGCTATCCTTTGCCAGATAGGATCATGCCCACGTGAATGGCAGTAGGCAATGCACTTATGCCAAGTCAAATGGCTATACTCCTTTTGGAGATACAGGGCCACTTGGAACGGGTGAGAGGATATTCTGTTTGTATCAGGAACTACTGGCCATAAAATGGGTACAGTGATGGTCCTCCTCTCTTCACTTGCTACGCGATAAGCAGATAAATAATAAAGATACAGTTAAAACCCTCCTTATGAAAAACTCTCTAATATGAACAACTATAGATTTTTTTATGGGTAGTTCTCTTGGTCTCAAAGATCAAAAATATACCAACTTTCATAATTTTACTACCTCTATAGTAAGAGCACCTCTGAAATCTGCCCCTTTTTGTTTTCGTAAGAGGTTTGACAGACTGTACTATATAAATGATAGCGAGAGAAATACAAGAGTGCACGTGACAAAATTGCAACCCTCGATGAATGTGACACGGGGAACAGAAATACGCATTCGTGTATTTCGTTCGCTCGCTCTCTCGCATAGACAATAGCCAATAACCGCGCGTGAAATCGGTCAGTTATTATCAAGAATCAAATAATGACCTCAGCGGACCTCCTCTTATTTTTAAATTGTGTCATTGTGTTAACGTCTTACACCTGACAAAGGCCAGTTTGGCTTGTCCAAATATCAAAAGTTATGAAACTATATTTATCTCCCCAAGGTAATGTATTTTGTACAATACAGTAATTTAAATTTTGCCTCTCCTGGAAAGTCTTCCCGTCTTATACTGATTTTTCCATACTCTCTCATTTTCTAAAAACACGGATTAAAGTACAAAACGGACAACTGTTAAAACATCTGTTCATCTTATCCAATGTATAACCGTTTTTTCTTTATTATTATTATTTTAATCTTACATGTACATGTGCGGTAGTTGTTTTGAACTTTGTTGCTTGTTGTTTCTGTAAAGCAAAGCTAGTTCAGCCACTTAGGCCCCATTTAATGGAGAAAACTTGTCCTTGGTAGAATGTTCTTTTGTCTACCCGAGCTACATTGTAAAAATTTCTCCTCCTGCCGACTAAAAGTTCCGGCCTGGAAAAATTGCAGACAAATACACTGTATATGGAAAATCTAAAGCAACTGAAGCGTCTTCAGAAATTTAAGCACGGTTACGGCCCCCAAAGTTCCCAGAAAATCCTTTGCTGTGTAGCTTTAGCTTACATTTCATTTTTTTTTCCTCAGAACAGCCGTTTCACGGAAATTATTTGACATTAGATTGTCATACAAACACTGTAATTTCTCACGCAGTTGTCTACTGGACAAGAGTTTCCCAAACCGTGACAAGGTCTATTGATCGGAACGGATATAACATTATTTTGACCACATGTATAGAAAATATAGAAAGGTACCTGCTAGAGATAAGGTTAAATGTATACTGAAATGTAAACTTTTGATAACCAAATTAAAGAATTATAGCGGAGCTCCACCCGCGCGAAGCACGCGCGTGGGCCGAGCCCCATAACTAAGGAAATGTGGTAATCTACCTATCCCAGAAAATTTGGTAATCACGTGACCGTACACCGAGCGAGCGAGCGGTCGAGCGACCGTCCGTCCGCACCACAGGCGTACCAATGTAAAATAACTCAATCAACAGGTATGGGAACCCAAATGCAACTCAAGGTTTTATTTGGAAGGAAATCACATGGCCGCCCGGACTTTTAGAAAGAAAAAAGTCGTATCTTTTTCGGCGTTATTTTTCATGTGTACACTAACGTGGATAACAGAGAAAGAGCTAGAGCGAGTTATTGAAAATTCGTTGGAAGAAAAACATGGAAATTCAAAGCGGCGGTGAGAAAATGAGAAATGCTAGCGGCCAGCAAGGTGAAAATGAGCGGCAGTGAAAAATAAAAGCGAACATGAACACTGGAAACAAAATATTGGGTAAGCACATGCGACAATTTCTCCATAAAAATAGTGTGTAACTAGGAAGTTTGACGTTTTAGTCGTACAAAACAGTGTCGTAGTCGTGCAAAATAACGGCAAGGGAAAGACAAAAAAGCGTGCTGCACGTGCAAATTTGTTTTTGCTAATTAGAAGAAAAAGTGTGCTGCACGTGCAATTTTTTTTTTGCTAATTAGATCTATTAGTCTTGAAGCCATTTTCATTGTCGTCCCCCGTTAAGCGTTACACGATTTAATTTTTTTTGTTTACACGTATTATTAACCAGAGCTTCGCTTTTAGCCCTGGCTAAATCTATATATTAGAAAATTTCACTTAAAATAAATTACATAACTGAATTGTTTTATCTCAAGGTTTCTACCTCGTTTTTGCAGTACAATTCTCTTCCTTTGTGATATGGGTGGTGAGGGTGATCAACCATGGAAAAGCTGAGAGTCAATATAATGATATCACAGCTTTCACTTCTTTAGTTATATAATTCACAGAAAGGGAATTTGAAAAGGAAAACTGATTCAAAAACTGAAAGAATGAAATGAATAAATATGACAGAAAAACTTAAAATGAATAATGAATAATTTGGAGAAAAAAGCAAAGAATAATGCATAATTCTGATCTAATTATTCCGCCTGTACTCCTCATTATAAATAAATTCTTTCCTACCACTATCACTATCATCAGAAAAAGTGGCAATGGTTGTTAACAAAGGGCTTTAAATATAACCGCTGCCTGTTAAGTGAGGGTTAAGTGATTTTATGGTGTCTTTGATAGGTGGTCGCGGATTTATTACAAGGCTGTGGTTGATCAATGAGGTTCGCCCCCAATGTTTAAAGTCGTTCCTTCCACATAAAAGAGAATGCATATGTCCACTCGGCGGTTGTCGGTCTGGTTTGCCGTTAACCAATTCATCTCAGTGACCACCCTTTCGGGTCGAGTGAGTTAACGCCACTTTTTTCTTTCGAAACAGTCTTTTAGTTTTTGTCATTAGGAACTAAAATGTTGTTAAAGTTTTTGTAATTCTAAATACTTAGACCCCAAAATTGACTAGTAATTACATGATGATTTAAAGAAGCGGATCGGAAGACGCACAACACCATTTTGAGCTTGTGGACTCCATAATACGACGGAGTTTGAGAGTCTTAGTTCTCGTCATTACGAACAAAGTATCTTACTTTCCTAGCTAAGGAGTTAGATCTTAGTTTTCGAAACATTCGGTTGAAAAACACGGTCACTCAACCAGAGTGGCATTTATGCAAATACTGTACACAAATTTTCCTTTGTGAGAGAAAAGAAAAAACATAATTTCACTTATTTAATAAACCATAAATTTCGGATAGATTACTGTTTGTGAAGTATGTGAGATGAATACGTGTGCTCTGCAACAACCTTCAAGTGAAAAAGTTCAGTTTAACGAACAGATTCCGAGCCTTGCTTACTGAGTTTTAATTTGTAATTACCAGTACTCTTTCAACCTATAACTTAGAGCAAAGTTCGAAGAAACGGATAGGATAAGAAGAGTGTTTGACTTCGAGAAGTCAGGATTCGGCATAATAATTTGACGGATTAGGTTTTGGGTCGTCTTAGTTCTTATAGTTCGAAAAGTGAAATAGTTTTTTCAAACACAAAAGTTTGTTCAAGAAACAGTACAAAGTGATGTTTGTTAATTACTTGAAAGCAATTAAAATTACCTGAAATCTTTGAGGTGGATATAAACAATACAGCAACCATCAACAAGGGTAGATTCATGGCAACACCGTACATAGAGAATACTTCATGGAAAGTGCTGGCGTACGGTATTTACGCACGAGTTGTTGACGTATCAGAAATCGAACGAGTGAGCGCAGCGAACGAGTGAGATTTCTGATACAAAAACAACGAGTGCGTAAATACCGTACAAAGCACTTTCCATGTCGTATTGTGTTTATTATATACATACTGAGACATTCATCATTTGGCGGCCTTTTTATTTTAAATCTTTCAAAAATGCTAAAACGAAGTATCAGCTTTTTAGTAAAAACGTTTGTTAAAAACATAAATGTAAGGATATGAGGTAATCCAAGAACTATAAGTAATCTTAACTGTTTGTTGTCAATGCACAATTAAAAATGAGTGAATTTAAGTAAAATGGCCGGTTTCAATATAAGCATAAAGCTTAAATGAAGGGCAAAGTAGCTCCGACAAAAAGCACAACAAAAGCTTACGTCTCGTTCTGTTTATCCCTTTCCCGTTGTTGTTTCGCCGGCTCTCTACCGTTTTCTTTATCGACAGTGAATTAAACGAAACTATTCCACTCCATTTCCGAAATGTTTTTCGCTTTTTTAGCGAAAAACTCTTTGAGTAAAACTTTTCTCGTTGAATGTGTGCGAAGCGGCGCTGCAAGCTGCAATAAAAGGCGGGAATTTTGGCGCGAAACTCACACACCTCTGAGGCTTCTGATTGGACGTATCATTTTTCTCACGCGTGAAAAAACATCGTTCGCGATTCTGATTGGACGTATCATTTTTTTCACGTGTGAAAACCATCGTTCGCTCCTCTGATTGGCTAGAACTAATTTGCGTACGAAAATTTACGACATAGCTTTTTGGCGAGTATTTCTCAGTACGTAGATAATAAAGAACGTTTCAAAACGTTTTGCCTGAAAAAAAAAATATATATATATTGCCGACAAGCCAAGGGGGTGAGGAAATATATTGATTGCGAAAAACCGGAAAACCGTCATCGTCATGTGACAATCAAGTGATTAATGAAAGGACCAGGGTCTGTGGAAAATGAGGAGTATAGAAAATGAGGAGTTGGTGGAAAAATTCGGAGTGTAAAAAATGGGGAATTGGGGTGAGAAAAAATTTAAAAGTTTATATAAAAACTTGTAAGACGCTTGTGATAGGAAGCGCTATACTATTTGAAAGTTTATTTAACGCAATTTTAATTTCATTTAACATTTATTTTAGCATACACACCTTTTCAATTCCTTCCTTCCATTGATTTCTAACAATCAAAATTAAACAATCATAGACACTTTCAGTCTGGTCTTCGCAAGCGACGAAAGCAAAAGAGCAAGCAAAAGAGTCCATATGTCACCGTGAAAATGTCGTGGACATGTCGCTGTGCTTGCGTCCGTGTTATGCAATATTGTTGAAACGGAAGGCAGCATAAGCGTTAGGCGATCTTTTATGCTGGGCCAATTAAATAACTAGATTCAGGGTAAGCATAGCATTCCCGCCATTTTGGTATAAAACCAGATGGCCGTCGGGAAGGTTAACCCTATTGACACCGGACTTTTTTGGTTTTGTTTTTTTTTGTGTGTGTATTTTTTTTATTTCCTGCCACCGGGGGCAGCCTACAGAAGTCCCCCCTCTATACCTTCAAAACCTCTTAACTACGGCCACCAAACTTTGAAAGAATAATGTCCTTATCTTTTCCAACTTCTGGGTATAACTATTGAGACAATGACGAAACCTGACGTAATTTTGACGTTATGTTAACGAATTTATTTGCAAAATCAAATTTTCCCTTAAAGTATACATTATTAAGCAAAATTATTAAGCTTATTAGCATTATTAAGCTTTCGATTAGCACAGCGGTTTACACATCACAGCGAAAGGTGCACAAAAGGTAACGCCAGGCGTCGTAACATCAGACGTTAGGATTTATGCAGTGGTGGGTCCCAGAAGTGAACCTAAGGCAGATTAGCAATTTTTCAAACATCACTGGTCGATTTTAAAAATAGCATTTTTAATTACCATTTTCAGCGATGACAAAACGCCTGTGTAACCTTAACGGTTCGACGTTGTTCTTTTGCATGAAGTCTAACTTAAATTCTGTTCCATTATAAATGATTGTCACATTTTGCACAAACAGGAAACCCCTCTAGTCGATTGCATATTTATCCGGCTTGTAGACGTTAGGATGTTTCGTATAATTCAAACCTCCTAGATAGTCCCAACCTGTGTACGTAGTCGAATTGCCAATTTACTGTATACGCGGAAATCCATTTAAGTGGTCCTTTTAGCTGTCTCCCGGTTACAGTATTGTTTGTTTCGTTACCATCTCTCACATGATGTTGAAAACTGAAGGTTTCTTGTCCAGCGAAACCACGCAGATGAATAGTTCAAATAGAGGGTGACCTCCACAATTGCAAGCTGTCTTGGTCTGCTGTGTAAGACGGATTGAACGAACCATTTCACTTGTTCACTTAACTCGGAGTTCAAAATATCCTGGCCAGAACAACTTGACCCAGAAAATAGATCTGCTTAGAAACACCGTATCCCTTACCCAAGGAACTAGACCAAAATGATTGTTGGGAAAAGGGTTAACGGATAAAATGCTCCAAATACAGATAACAGGTCACTTTTCGCTTCATTAGGTGTGTAATAATCCCACAAAGCTATTGGAAGAGAGGTACCAGCCTCTCTTGGGGTTGGTAATCCTTCAGGGATAGTATTTCAAAGATATATGCATATTAGGCAACAACAAAAAAACTGACGTACGAAACATGGGAGGCCCTGTCTCGAGGGTATCAGTGCAAATGGAACATCAAACAATTTGAAGGTAACAGATCTTAGATTTGTTGTGTTATTGCCAGATTTCAGACTATCAATACATTACAATTGTACACTGAACAGAAAACACAAAACAAACAAAAAAAAGAACAACAAATTACATAAATGATGAAATTTAAGATAAATTGTATAGCTAGTGGCGAAGACATATATTTACATAAGATTACAGTAAGTGGAGAAAGAAGTGCAGTCTTACTTACATATTTACAGAAAAATAAAAAAGGAGATATATTACAAAAGAAATAATGTATTTTATTATTCATTCAAAATATTTCCCCGATTCTGATTGGCTAAAAGCACACTCATAATTCACCACAACCAGCTATAGATGACCAAATTTGGAAGATAACGTCAAAAGTGCAGCGTTACCGAGAAGACCTGGGGACGAGGTTGAGTTCTTTTGGTTGTGAAAACAAAAATGGCGGAACATTCTACGGAACATTTTACTCATTCACGACGATATTTTGTCTAAAAACATAGCAAGAAGACAACTCGACGGACAAAATATGCTATTTGGAGTATAGTTAACTTGACATAGACGAAGGTAAACACGTTTTAGCTTGTTTTTAAACCGGGAATTATTTTGAATGAATAGGGGAGTTGTCAGAAATTAGCAGGGGGGGGGGGGGGGGGGGGGGGGGGGGGGGTAGGAATTTTAAATTTGGGTTCGGAAATGAGGTGACTTATCCCTGCAATGGGAGTGAAATTTGCTAACCCTCCCCTTGACTTTGGCCTAAAATATCATGACCCTCCCCTTCTTGTATAAATGATAAAATCTAGTTCTTGCAATACACTAGAGTGAGTCAGTATTATGAAAGCTCAAAATATATTTCTAATCTGTTCTTTGTACTGCCAACTCTGATTCTGACAGCTGATCACTCGACTCTCCTATTTCTCCCAATTTTTTTTTTTTTTTTTTTTTACAAAATAAAGAACTTTTTTTTTTTTCTTTGGGTGAACTTCTACATGATCACGGACACATATTTGCATGACCCTCCTCCTTTTAACGGCTCATTTTTCATAACCCCTCCCTATTCCGCAGTCTCAAAAAGTTCTGACCCTCCCTCTGTTTCCACCCCTCTCCCCCACCCTAATAAGGCAATTGAATGAATTACCATAATGATAAATGAATGTCATGGTTCGTAAACCTAATGGAATGCCTCTGAAACGTTTATAGATTCTACCAGGACGGCTTGAACTTAAAGGAAATTTTCCGATAACTGGAAAAAAAATGGAAGCAAGTCTGGAATGCGTATGAAACCGTCAGCACACGAAACGAAATGGAAGCAGATTTCACCTAGCGACTTAATTTCATCCCTTGCATAAGCCTACCATCATGCCCTCCCTATCATGAGCTCTGTCATTCTTAGAAAGTGAAAAACAGTACGTCCGATGTCAAGTTACACTTGCATTTGGGCCGCCGCGCTCGAAACACACAATGGATTGCCTGTCGCTCGAGGAAAAGTAGGACATAAATGTTCCTTTAGACCCATGCAACTCCCATTGTCAAGAATCATTTCAAGTTTACGCTACGAAGTTGCGAGCTTACTGGCCCCACTGAAACGTTCCCCTCCCAACAGTATGTGGCGTATTGAAAGATGAAATGATTCGCGACCGCCTTGTTTGTGATATCGCTGAGAAGAACTTTCTTTGAAATATGTTACAGGAGACTAAATTGTTGCTTAAAAGTGTTGGATATCTATCGATCCGCGATTAGCCACCAGAGCGACCAGTCACCAGAGCTCGCCTCGAAGCGATCAAAACCCACATCCTGTGTTTTTAGCCCATCCAACTCTTTTATATATAAAACTTGCGAAGAAATTTCCCTTAGTGTGGTTCTTAGCGGCACCATCAGACAACTTTAAGAAATACAAGAGATAAGTTGTCAAAGCGTTTAATTCAAAGTTAAAAAAAAGAAAAAAAAAACGGGACAAAAATGTCACAAACAACTTGAAATGATGTGAAATACTTTTAGGCTACACAGTTTTAAAAACCACTAAATCAATCCGTCGTAATCTCTTTCAATCTTTTGTGCAAAAGAATGATGTTTCCTTACTACTTAAATCGGCTACTGTTCTTTAGCCAATTTGTAGGCTAGATTTTAAGTGAATTTGCCTAAACTAATCCATGTGACACATCCTTTCAGAGAAGAAACTCTTCCAATTCAGCCACAGCCTAAATTGTGTGAAAGATCTATTCATCATAAACTAGCAAGGTGGCGGCATTCTCCTCTGTACGGCGTTTCCTGATTACAATAATCAGTGCAGCTATGAGACCGAGCATGACAACTCCAAGCACGCCAACTAACACTCCAACCAGGGTGAACATCTGTGGATTGTCTTGCGAGACCTTCTTTCCAAGTGCATCCGAGACTGAAAGAGGTCGTACAGAAAGGACTCATCATGTGAAAAGATTTCAAACTTGTCGGGGGCGGGGAATGAGTTTACTTAACGAGCTTTATACAGGGAGGTTCCGCGGTCTAACCCCTTACCCTTTTTTATACTATATTTGACAGAAAAGGTACCCCTTTCGCATACTTGGATCGTGCAAATGGTACACCATTCACATACCTAGTTTAGAATTTTACATCCCTTTAACTGCTTTAGAATTTATTAAAGCATTATTAAATTACAAAACAAAAACGTTTTCTTGCCTTTTTCTCAGCCATATAATGTATCTGCCTGCCCTTTTGGGCAGACCGAAATAACATATTTCCCTACCGTAGCATATACTTCAACTAGTGAAAACTCTGCCCCTTCATATGTTTGAACTGAGCTAGCCACAAAAAGGTACCCCTATATAAACATAAATCCGCGATTTTGAGTGATTATCTCTCTTTGAACTCGGCTAATTTAGTTAGCAAACGGAGGGCGAATTTTCCCAAAGTTGAATTGTTTGACTGCATGCATTACGTTCATCGTTGCTTTGGTGGTTGAAAATGCGTAAGCTTCATGATGACTATTAATGTAATTAGCTGAATATGAAACATAAGTATTGTCTGACTGAAACATTGATCAGTTCCTTTACAACCTTATAAGGTATATCGCTGAAGCTAGAAGGCAGCTATGATGTATTTAATTGGAGGCTGCTATCTCAATGCAGATTACTTTAGCATTATGTGAAGAATGTAGGGGTGCTTGACACAAGTCTTTCATAGTGTACTGTGAGTAATGCATACCCTTACCTTCTTCTCCCTTGACCTTGATTGGCCCAATGAACTGATTAACGACGAAATCATCTTTCACTTCCCTTTTCTTTCTGGAGTCATTCTCGTTTTCCTGGCATCCCTTGGCGCATTTTGACTGTTCTTCCTTCGAGCGACACACAGTCATCTTACAGTGTATGTACACGTCTTGATAACCAGATTTGAAGCGGAAGGCCACTAAAGTAAATCGCTGTTCACCAGACATCTTGTACTCAAACTCCAGAGTTTTGTCTCGGGGACATCTACAAAAAGAATAATAACCTTTTAAAGCGAAAGCACAATAAACATTTTTTTTTTTCAAATAAGCCAAGAATTTTTTTAACGCAAAATTTAGGTTGCACAACTAAGATCATTGGCGGCATCAGAAAATAAAACTAAACTACAGAACAAAAGCTCTGGCTTCTGGTAAACATATTACATCATCTTTCTTAAAAACACCACGGTCCTTCTCATAACGTTCTTTCATCCGAATCATCTTTCGCCTCAGGAATGCATGAAATGACTGGGTGTAAATTTATTTTTCACATTTTAATTGGCGAAAACTTCTCAAAACTAGTCATTTAACTTACCATAACATGCTTTGCTTTATTTATTTATTCATTTTATCAATTTTTTCATAGACTTATAGGCTAGAAGACTAAAATATAAACACCAACATCGCCCCAAGTAAAATCCGGAAAATGTTTGCTTGTAGAATCCAGAATCCTGGGGCTTTTGAATCCAAAATACTGCTCAAGGATTGAATCCGGAATCCCACTAACGACTGGAATCCGGAATCTAAGTTCCCCTGACAAAGAATCCGGAATCCACCAGCGCCTACAATGGAAGAATCCGGAATCCACGGCGTAGAATCCAGAATTTAAGAATGACTCGGATTCCCTTACTGAAGGGGCGTTGTTTACAAGCTTCTGAATCTCTTCCTTTAACTTGCTACAACGTATTTTGCTTTTATTTTTCTTTTCTCATAGACCCATAGACTCAATGACTAAACCCAAATATTTTAGTGGTTATTTACGCGTTTTCGATGATCGCATGGTCCGGCTTATCATTGATATCCTGGGAGGGCGTGGCCTTGCATTCATCCGGGAACAAGATCAGTCCAGAATCCCCCGACTCTACACGCATTTCCAGGTACATCCGCTGGCTAATCCCGATGACGAAAGGAAATTCATCAACTTTTTTTGAGTAGTCCTTATCGGTGTATAGATTTACCTCATACGAGAAGTTACCGAAGTCCTCTGATGATAAAAAAGCATGGCATAACATCAAGAAAAGAATAACTAGCAACACGATTTTCATTTCTACAACAGATCTTGGTGTACCTTACATTGTTTCTGCTGTCAAACAACTAGACCTGTGACATATAATATGGCGATTTTTTTTTCTCTGTTTAGACTCCAATTATGCGTTCATAATTTTATGAACGCCTGTGATAAGAATGCAGTTTATTCTAACTGAAAGAAAACAGTTCACCCTCCCTTTGTCTGAAAGTACGTTATTCACAAACCAAAATAAAAAGCTGGTTAACTGTCTCCAGAACTGCCAGAAAAATTCATTCTTCCTCATTCCCTTACGAAAGTAGTTTCGAGAATTAAACTTTCGAGGGGCGGAGCTGGAGTGGTGGGTAAATGGAGATCTGGACAAGAACTTTTTAACCCATGTAAGCTATTGTCAGGTAAGTCCATCAAATTGCTCAAAAACCTACTCGTTGCCCTCGGACTAAACCTTAAGGGGTATTAAAGTGAACACTCTAAGGAATCTTAAAGTGTTCACTTTAAGGAGTCTCAAAGTGAACACTTTAGGGATTCTTAATAAAGTGAAGATCAGACTTAAAGGGGTCTTAAAGTGAAGACTTTAAGGAGTCTTAAAGTGTTCACTTCGCTTTAAGGAGTCTTAAAGTGAAGATCAGACTTTAAGGGGTCTTAAAGTGAAGACTTTAAGGAGTCTTAAAGTGAACACTGTAAGGAGTCTTAAAGTGAATACTTTAAGGAGTGTTAAAGTCAAGACTTTAAGGAGTCTAAAGTGTTCTGGGCCGAGTTGTTCAAAGCTGGGTTAAGATGACCCACAGTTAGTGCGAGATTTGAATTCAGATTTGAAAGCTTAAAAAGCATTTCAGTTTTAGTTCTTTTTGTCTACAAGTTGATGATTGGAAGCTCTAAAAATAACAGAGAAAATTTTCCGAGAAAATGCTTTAGAACACAAGAACAAGAAACTCGGGTTAAATTTAACCCCGGGTTAAGCGCTAACCGGCCTTCGAACAACTCGGCCCTGCACTTTAAGGAGTCTTTAAGTGTTTTCGTTCAAGACCTTAAGGATAGTTATATAGGGCATTTTTATATAATTTTAATTGCAAGATTTTTATGAGGTACTTTGACCAGCATGATCCAATTACTCCTTGATTGCCATTGGCGTGTATCAAAAAGCAGTAAACAGGCATTATTATTTTATTTGCACTTGTGGTTGTCACCTGTATTGGTTATGATTTTTGTGAACTGAGGATTGACTTGCACTTTAGAGATAACAGCCTTTTTCTTGTAGGAACACTGAAAGGGAAGCACTCTTGTACTTGATCGAGTGATGGCTTCCTCTTCATTCTCGTCGTTTACTACAGCAATAATCTTGTTCATATAGCGAATTTCACTTTCGTCTTCTTCATATTCGGTTTGGCAGTCCCCCAAGCCAAACCTAAATATAACCTTTGTTGCATCTCGATACCCGGGAACACAGGCCTCGTCCTGGAGATGAGTCACATTGGTGTCCAGTCCTGGGTAGTTCTTGCTCTCCAAGGTAACCTCGATGTATTCGTTGTGGCATACGAGGCCCAGTTCTGCAGAAATCGTAAAAAAGAATGTTCCCAAACTAATTCATACCTCGGTTCTCTGGATATCTACGTTAATTGAAACAAACTGCGAGTACGGATAGTTTAAAAAAAGGTTCCAAGACGCACTGATCGCTTCCTCGCCAGACGATTTCCACACAACGTTTACTCAAGTAAAGAATAATGCGTAGTGTCCGCGGGAATTATTCCATTACTACTAAAGAAAATATATTCTTCAGCTCTTTTTTTTTTCTTCGTTACTGTCTAAATCGTAGGAAATTCCTCTAGATCACAGGAGTCTTTGCCTTACGTACTTTCGACAAACGAAGAGATCAGCTTCATTTCGTTCTGCTACAGTAGTAAATTGTTAACTCTTTCTGAGGTGGAAAGGCCAGGGATAGCTTTATAAATTCTGCATTTCCATGAGCGAAAATCACAGGAAAATAATTAGTTTAATGCAGTAATCTTCAACTTTTGGATAATGTTTCAAAAAGCATTAAGCCAGCGACAAATTGATATCAAAGACCTGAAGGTTAAGAGTTCACTATAATTACACGCTTCAATTATTTTAATTTTTCTTTTTTTTTTAATCTTTGATTTGTAAAGAGAAGATGTTTTAGTAGTGTAAAGAGCAATCGCAAAAGGTGGGTTTGTTTTCGGTTTTATCATTACAGGTTTGACAGCTGGCTGTTAAGATAGATTTGTCTATACACCTGTGGGTTGGGGTTGGAAATGTAAAATAATTAAATAATTTCGTTTGAAGCTAGAGCAATATTCCTAACTTATACGTACTTGCCGTGGAGTTATCTATCATTTCTCCATCAGCCCCTCCACTTGTTGGTGTTGGCGACTCTAAAAAAAAAGTAAATTTTATCAAAAGGAGTTAGGCACCTTCGTGTTTAGTAATATGCATCTAACTTTGGTCAACCAATTAACGAGGAGAGTGGGGTCTTAAAGCACTTTAAAATGACTGGTATATTCCTTCATTACATTCCAAACTTAAATATAGCTTTATTAATAAATCTTAATTGCAAAGAAATCATCGCAGTTCTAGACATAACTTAAATTACGATTCCGGCACATTATACCCTTTCTCCGTCCCATAATTGTAATATATGATTTTCATATGTTGATAATATCATCTTTAATAACTTTGTTGGCATCAGATATTTACGTAACTTTTTTTTTAAAGAAAGAAAAGGCTTAACATCATTGTTCCCTTTTAACTTTAGAGCGCTTATCTCTCTCAGACGGACGTCTTAGAGAGAATCTCAGTAATGTATTGAGAGAAAATGGATTCTGCTATTGTCAAAATTATACCTCCATTGAAGCAGTTTCAGAAATCAACTAATCGACTACAAACGATTGTATGATTATCAATCTTCTAACAGGACTAAAAGTGTACCCGAGTGAGTCATATTAACAGTGCAACCTCGTTCCAAGAGTTTCCTCCTACTCCTCCTTCTTCCAACACTCTCTTTTGGAAGAGAATCCTGGGAACGAGGTTGCAAACAGTGGATCGCTCTGAGGAGCATGAAGACAAAACGGTGAGATTTATTTGGAGTCGCTTTAGTGTGTCGGGCAACTACACAGCATTATCAATAAATAGTTTCTGAAGCCAAACTTTCATACTTTTGGCTGTCGTTGAGGGTTGGGACATTCGAATCGACGGACTGACCTGCGGAACATCCATGTGCGGTTTCTAAGACGAATGGGCGGATATGTGTTTTGATTTGTTTGTAAGTTCGTATTGGTTGCCTGTTGAGGGGCATATAAATTTGTGAAGAGATTAACAAAAGTGCGGTTTTTGGAACAAGACTCCCTCGAAGAAGCTTCCGATTTCTTTTTTCTTTGTACGACTGAATACAATTGCCTAGTGAGGGATGTCTTATAAATGTCTGATTTAAAACGCCCGTGCTATCTTTATGTTTTGTCAGGTTAGCCTGTTTCGCATTTCAAATGACAAAATTAACAATTATGTTTTATCTTTATATTTCTTTTTCGCCGTTTCTTTCCCATAAAGATGATTATATCAGGAGAAACGTGTATGACAATCTAATGTGTCCAACAATAGATGCGTATGCAAAAGATGGTTAATTAAACTAACTGAAACAGTTTTTTATTAGCGTCCAAAAGAAAAAAAATTAATTCAGCAAATAAGCAGCTCAAATAGAGAAAAATATATACATTAAAAAAAGCAATCAAACAAAATATATTTTCTTCAGGATCGTTTCAAAGCAACTGAACTTTTGAAGCATGTCTAGGTCTAAGTAGAGAAAACTTTAGTCAATGCCTCTCAAGAACACATAAATTAAAATAATTTGAGAAAGAAAATTTCCATCATTTTGGAGTGAAAACTCAGCAGCGGTATAGTTCTTTTTCTGTCTGACGTTGCGTTCTGTTTTTAATCTTGCAGTTTTGACAGAGGGCAATAAATTCAAGCGGCGTATGAGCGTTTGGAATGTTTCATAGGAGAAAGGCGAGGTAGGAAGAAAGGACGATTTGAACTGTTACAAAAAGTATACAAATTGAAAATTTATAGACATTTTACTATCTCTGAAAATCGTCCAGTTTTTCCAGTGAAATGCTATGCTGGAGTAACCTCTCATTTTAAATCTTGCAATTTGACATTAGTTTTGTGAGCAACAAAGCTCGTAGGTTAGTGAGAGAGAGAGAGAGAGTATAAAAATTGTAATATTATAAACATTTAACTAAGTAGAAAAATCGTGAAGATTTTCAAGTAAAATGATTGTGAGGAATAACCAATCATTTTAAATATAGCGAATGGAAAATAGGAAAGAGAGAGAGAAAGAGAGAAAGAGAGAGAGAGAGAGAGAGAGAGAGAGTAGACTTAAATGAATGGAAAACAGGTGAATTCGAAAACAATTTTGGTTGTGCAATTGCCAGGATGAATCCGTGGGAAAAATGGTTTTAATCTGATACTATACTAGAATTAAACTAGAGGCCCTCAGTGGTCAAATTAATTATTTTAGCAAGCAGCAAGTTTCCCTCCCTTTCCTTTAAAGTTTTAATAAGTGAAACAAATAAAGTTAGTCTTTGCCTACCTTGAGCAATTGACAAGTTGCAAACCAACGAGAAAATAGTTAAGCAGAAGAGAAACGTCATCTTTCTAATTTTAAATTTTGGCAGATTTTTTAGCAAATGGTGTGAAATATTTTGATGTCAAACAAACAAGATGACAGCGGCTAAAAGCAAGCCAAACACTCCATCGACTGACTGATTGGCACCCAAAGTCCGGCTGTTCAATTACCCAGACTTCATTTTGGGTTGACATTGTTCTTAATCAGCGTGAATTGCTTGAAAGCTGCGCATGATCACAGCATGATACACTGACCACAGCTGTGCTTTCACGTTTTAAATTTGATCCGTTTAAAACTGACACGAATTTCGAAACTTTATCTTTCATCCGAATTTTCGTAAACAAAAAAGGTAAAGTATATCAATCATAGCAAATCTATGTAGAGAAATTCCCTGGGAGCTAGTAAATAATAAATTAATTTCAAAAAACTCCAGAGGAAATACCGCATGTCCACTGCGCTCTTAAATTCCTCTTGATCAAACAAAATAAATATCCTTTTTGCATTTTAATTAATTTACTCGACAAAATTTCGGATAACGATGAAACGTTTGGAACTTTGGCGAAGCTAAGTGGCATAACGAACTCAATTTGACGAGGAGAAAATCATATTTTCTCGTGCAGGAAAAAAGACTCATAAGAAGTTGTCAAAACAAAAGTTAATGCTTTTTATTTCTTGGCTAACTAACTTTTTTTAAAAGTTCTTATTCAACAATTTTTAATTTAAAATGGCTCCCTTATTTGTGTGTGCACGGTACAGGCTTAGTAAACTTAACCCCGTTGTTCGAAAGCTGGATAGCCTTCGTAATCCACAGGGAAAAATATTATCCAGTGGATAAGCATTAGGTCACCGGTTGTGTTATCCACTGGGCAGAGATGTATCAGTCAGTAGATACCACTATCCTGCAATTTTCAGTAACAATTAACTGGGACCTGGGTGATAAAATCATTTCAAGCTGTTTTCAAGTTTAAACTTAAGTGAGGTGCATTTAATCACGTTGAAAGTCACGATAAAAAAATAATAATAATACTATTGACTACTGGGCCGATGCTAAAGATAAATATGATAAACTGGTCTTCTTTCGATGTAGTTTTAGCCACTTTAGTTTTATACTTGGAGGAATTGAATTGATTATTGTTGAACCCTTTAGGATCAGACTAAAAGGACTATAACATCCAGGCCCCGGTTGTTCAAAAGCCGCATAACGTGATCCATCGAATAAATCACTATATACTCTGCCACGTTTTTGAGTAAAACAAATCAAAACAAAAAGAAAATAAAAACTTCTAAAGTAAATTAAATGGTGCATTGGGGGTCTGTCTATGTATTCATAACCGCAGGCGGATATAGCAGCTGGAAAGCGAGATTCATTTCAGCTCACATCAGGAAGCCATTAATTCTTTTGTCGTGAATCGTTTTTTCTTTAAAGGTTTTTTCTGTTAAAGATGCATAAATATAAGCTGAATTGCCCTCCTGGCCTCAGTTGTTCAAAAGGTGGATAGCGGTATCCAACGGATAAATCTCTCTCCAGTAGATAGTGTAATTGGTTTCCCCAATACTTATCCACCGATCCACCGGATAGTGATATATAGCGGAAAATATAACGCGTCAGTCTCGTCGGAATTTTGGCCTTGTGTACCATTGAGGACCTTTGAGACTTGTACCAACGTCGCTTTGGAAATTGCGGAGAAAAGAATGTCATTCCCCTGAGAACGTTTTCCTCATGTATAGAGCGTTTTCACATCACTTCAGGGCGGCCATATTGGTGTTCCAAACCAAACCTGTGGAAATTGAACTCTTTTCTTATGTAAACGCTTTAATTTGTTCCAATAAATTTACATAGATGCATGCTGACTACGTGAGTGAAAACGCTCTCTCTGTATATACTACAGATGTTAGAATCGAATGAGAATGTGTTGCTGGCCTAATGTTCCCACAGCCTTTGCCGTTGTACCTGCTTTTACTGACGACATTATAACTGATCAGAGAAAATAGCCGCTATTCTCCAGTCCATTCTAATTCCAAATCGATATCTTTGCATCTTAATTCGTAACCTTTTTAATTATACTTGATCATGACTACCGATTGGGAGCGGTTTTGTAAAGACGTCATTTTCACTATTTTTGTGAATTCGATGGTTATCCATTAATATTAATTAAAATTCCCTTTTTGTCATCATTATCCCATGCAAATTTTAGGCAATACCTTGAGGAGATTCTCTCCGAATTTGAGGACTGTGAATGTGATTCCGGTTATTGTAAACACCGGAGTGATAGTGCCTTTGATAAATCTAATGACGAAGAGATATGGGAAAGTTCGTCCAAGGAATATCTCGTGTAGGCGAAAAAAAATTCAAGAAAAGGACGGCGGAAAGTCATCAAGATCGAAAAATAAGTGGCAAATGCAAATAGTTGATGGAGATGTTTCTGCTTTTTCACTGGCACTGAAGAGAGCAACTGGCCTAAAAACAGTCACAGAGTCATCGCATTTTTTAGTATGATGCCATGCATAACTTAACTTTAACTTTATTACATATCACATACTTGGAAAAATACATGAGAACAACCAAAGCCGGGGGGTTAAATGGTCTAAGGTCAGCACAAAAAAAAAAGTGAAGAATTTACATGAATAAAAGAAGGCTTTACCTAAAATAAAGAAAAAAAAAAAAGAAAAAGGCCGTCAGAGAACTTACAACTGAAATACAACACGTAACAACGAATTAGCAATACTTCAACAACTAATTATGACTGCTAAATTTACAAACACTCGATAATATATTCCTATAAACCATACAAATAAATACTCCTTGTTTAGTCCCACAAGGTATACAAAATCGGTGATAGGAGACTTGATTACACTATAAAATCAAATACTAGACAACTAATACTTAACAAGTAATTATTAAATACTTAACAACTAACTATGACTACTAAATTTTCAAAACACTCGATGATATATTCCTATAAACTATACAAACAAGTACACCTAGTATAGTCCCACAAGGTATAGAAAATTTCGGCTCGTGATTTACAAGCTTTTCGAGTGTTCTGCCAACATCCCAAGTTAGCTCAGTTGGGAGAGCGCCGGTCTGCTGAGCGGAAGGTCGTGGGTTCACATCCCGGCAGCACCAACACCCAGGGCCCAGTTGTTCGAAAGCCGATTAGCGCTTAACCCCGGGTTAAATTTAACCCGGGTTTCTCTTTCTCGTGTTCAAAAGCATTTTTCGGATAATTTTCTCTGCTATTTTTAGAGCTTCCAATCATCAACTTGTAGACAGACAGAATTAAAACTGAAATGCTTTTAAACTTTCAAATCTGAATTCAAATCTCGCACTAACCCTGGGTTATCTTAACCCGGCTTTGAACAACTCGGCCCAGGGTCTTAAAATAACTGAGGAGAAAGTGCTCCCTTACAATGACATCTACAAACGATTAGACTTTCTAGTTTTCTCGGATAAGGTCCCGTCTCACAGCACTTTCACTGATTTGTTCTTGTGGAACGTAAAAAAACCCACACCACTATTCGAAAAGAGTAGGGGACGTAGACCCCGGTGGTGTAGTCAACCTCTCCTGGGCTGGGTGGGTTATCTGTAAGGACACACTTAAATTGGAGCCCGCTCTGTTGTGTGTTCCACAGCATATGGTGGAAGTGATTAAATAAAGAAAGAAAGAAATGAATAAATCTAGTTTATCTAGAAGTATTTCGTGGTTCACTGTATCAAATGCTTTCTTAAGATTCGATCTATGAAGACTCCGACAGTGTACTGATTGTTTTCAAAACCTTGATAAATATTGTTGACATGTTCTAAGATAGCCATAGCAGTATTATTCCTCATCATCGGCATTTATAAGTTACATTTCATGTGCATATTTGTATCTAAGGTATTTCCGTTTTTTGCTTATTTACGAGATCACGAAAAATTTAAGTAATAACAACCCAAATGAACTGCGAGGAGATCGTTGAACCGTTTTTGAAGTGTTTTTCTTTAACACAGATGAGCAACGCAGCGAATCGTAGCAAAGCTGTTGGGATTTCTCTTTCTAGAAAAAATTAATTGCCACTTTTGTAGATATGATAGATATTTATGATACATAAGAGATATGAAGCACTTGGAAAGTTTAAAGAGGACTCAAGTAAAGTTGCAAGGCTGCCGCCCATCTCCTGAAGCCTCACGCAGGAGCCAGACAAATTTGCAGGTCCTCGTGCGAGTTAACGATGTTGAGAGTGGTGAAATTTGTTCTAAAAAGAACAAATTTGACCATTTCGTGGACCCCGCACTTCTGTTCTTCTACCCCGATTTGGGCTCCTGGTTGCAATTAATTAGTAGTAACCACCTGACGATGGGCAATAATATACGCATACTTATGTATAACTATCAGAAAAAATGTATATTACTGTGTTAAGCACAAACGCAAGGTTTATTAAATAATTTATTCATTTTGTATCGAGTATTTTGAATACTGTTATATTAAGCCATGCTAAAAAACAAACAAACAAACAAACAAAAACAAAAAAAAAATTATTAAGAATAAAAGTTCTAGTGTTCGGGTCCATTTCAAATCCAGGAGAAGAGAAAAAAAAATAATACTACTAATAATAAAACAAATCTTAACGCAACTGCCATAACCTACTTTGTTTATTTACTTGTTTATTTTTTTTGGATCTAGAGTCGGAATCAAATTCATAGTTATTTTGGTTTTTCATTGCTTCCTCATTTAATTGGCTAAAAAACCTCGCGTCGTTTTTCGGCCAATCAGAAACAATGAACGGAAACCGATCAGGGCGCCGCCTTTTTTCACGCCTGGCGCCGGTTGTATAATTGTTTTCGCTTTGATGGGTTCATTTTATCAGCTTGAATTTTGATTGGTCAGAGTGTGTGTGCTGTTTTGGGTAAATTTCAAACCCTCGATAATGAGTAATTTAAATTCTCACAATCTATATGATTATTACAGTTGGACCTCGCAACGAATTAATTCTAGACAAATGTAGGCAAGCAAATGTTCAATTTATGCTCTTATTGTGTTTTAGTAGGAGTTTTTAAGTTCCAATTTATTGATTGATTTTTGGCTTGGAATTAGTAAATTAATATTTCGTCGTACGTTTTAGGTGGTAAGTTAAACAAGTAGTGTGGCAAAGCGATTTCTTAGTATAAAAATTGATGCCATTAACATAATCACTATGGGACGTATTCAATGAGAAGTCAAAACATCGTGGAGTTTGTTTCCTCTTAGACAGCTAAAAATATATACTCTAATCTTACTCGGTCAACCGCCTGTAATAGCCGACAAAAAATCATCATAATGGGTAAAATGTTTTTAGCAGTAATCTTTCTGGCGATATATCAGCGTTCAATCTCGGTTCAGGACTGTAAAGTGACTTTCAGAAACGGGTTCAACCTAGAGTCCAATGAAATAAGAAATAAAATGTTCAGCAGAAGACACATCCCCGAGCAGATTCCGACGGTTTTGTCGAGAAAAGTACACACTGTCATGGAGTGTCTCGACGCTTGCTTAAGATCTGACCGATGCGTTTCATTTGATGTTGAGGCAAAGCCACTACAGTTGAAAGTCTGTAGAATATTTGGAGAGGTAGAGAGCATGCCGCCCTTGGTTGAAGAGGGAAATTCGATTCATTTTAACTTGAGTTCTAAATTACTACGACAGGTAAGCCAGACTAAAGATTAATCAATCTCTGTCGAGTTTGTATTTTCATTTTTGTTTTCTATTATAGAATTTTATTTTATTATTATTTTTTTTTTTTTCAAAACTGCAGTAAAGGTGCTAATATCTTTGATATGAGATTATTGTTCTGCCGTCTATCAAAATATCTCAAAAACGATTATTTTTAAGAGTAAATCAGAAAGCTATTTTTTACTAATTTTTTTTCCTGATGTTTAGTACTTAGATTTTATTTCATTTGCAGACTAATAAATTAAAAGTTAGGCGCAGTCTACAACATTATCTCAAACATTGTATATCCACAGACTCAAAACTTAGAACCTCCTAGCACAGCAAAATTATCAGTATCACAAGATCAGTAATTCTCAGTAGCTTTTATTTAAACGGCGACCACTCCACAACGGCCAGTTTCTTCTAGGAGAGCCTTTGATCATCTTAACAAGATGAGGTATATCTTATTACTGGTGGGGCTGCTGGAGGCCTGTGGCGTCACCGACAATGGTCGCCATCTTGGATTTCACCAAGAATTAGAAATCCGGTCCAAACCGCGAGAAAAATGGTAATTTTTTGTGCTTCAAATGAAAAATAACACCTAAATAAGCACTTTGCATAAATTTAGCCACAATATCTACTTTTATTATTGAAATAAGTTGAAAAAACATGTGGCCTGACCACCTGCTATCTGTGACGTCATATCTCGTAACTATAGCAACTGACCATCACCGGACTTTTCTCAAAATGTGCGCAAGGCATGAACGAACAGCTACTAAAGACGGTCAGGTGCTGATGTTTTATCCTCTAGAAAAAACTCAGAAAAACCTTATGGGGGGCGGGGATTGGCACACTAGTAGTTACTACCAGTAACTACCACCAACTACTAGTAAGGGACTGTTCAATAATTATCAGGAGGTGGGGGGGCTGAAAAACTAGAGTTATCTAGCAAACACTTAGACAGTACCCCCCTCCAAAACAAAAAGAATAGTTCTAACCCCCCTCTGTTATGTTAAGAATAACGTCGCACCCCCCCTCCCACCACCTACCCACCCACACACACACACCCACCCCTCACCGCCACCATTACCATAGATGCCTTTAAGTAAATACCTTTTATATTGTCATGCTACTGTAAGCGTACGCTTACCTGTTGGATGTCGTCGTCTGGAAAAAATAGTACCTCATATGAATGTTCAACAAAGCCATCCTTTTCGGAGTCATCTGAATCCAAATTAGAGTTTTTTTCGGAAGTACTTGTGTGAGAATCAGAGTCGTATTCGGAATCACTGTATAGGAGTTCTGTGTCACTGTCATTGGCACTATTTTTTTCGTTGTTTCGTGTTCCAGAATGCGAAAAATCAAGAGCACGTGCTACCACCTCAACTTTACTTCCAGATACATGAAGATTGTTCTGCTTAAGGTAGATCTTAATTTGTCTTGCTGTGAGGGATTTGACTTCATTTCCTTCTTTCCAGTTAATGTCTGGAAGGGTACTGCGTTCAGCTTCCCTTTTTTGAGCTTTCAATGCAAGAAACTCACGATGTTGAATAAGACTTAAGGCCCCCCCTCCGTCAAATGAGTGATTTTACTTTGATTTGTCCCGTGCGGAGTGGCACGTGTTTGTTGCGCGTTCTCTCTTGTCTGTCCTGTACTGATAGAACATCTCAGTTGTGTTTACTACCTATGGCCCCCCCGCTGGCCATGTGGCTGTTTTTCTTTGGCCCACCCCCCCCCGCCTATCTTGGCAGCAATTTTTTGTAATGCCCCCCTCTAGTTTCTCAGCCCCCCACCGCCCTTCTGATAATTATTGCACAGTCCCTAACTACCGACAACCGATAACTACTAGTAACTACCGGTAACTACTAGTAACTACTGACAACTACTAGTAACTGCCAGTAACTACCATAGTAACTAACAACAACTACAAGTAACTACTGGTAACTACCGACAACTGCTTTAAACTAGTAACTATCGAGAACTACTAGTAACTTTCAGTAGCTAGTTATTAGTAGTTACTGGTAGTTACTAGTAGTTGTCGGTAGTTCGTTGGTAGTTACTAGTAGTTGGTGGTAGTTACTAGTAGTTGTCGGTAGTTACTGGTAGTTGGTGGTAGTTACTAGTAGTTGCCGGGTAGTTCCTAGTAGTTGCCGGGTAGTTCGTAGTAGTTGGTGGTAGTTACTGGTAGTTGACGGTACCAATAACTACAAATAACTACTAGTAACTACCAGTAACTACTTGTAACTACCGGCAACTACCATTAGCTACCGAGAACTACTAGTAGCTACTTAAACTCAAGAAAAATCCTTTTTCGTTGTAGAAAGTGGTTCTTCTTACCTAATCAACGATTTCCAGTGTAATGCAGGTCGAACCAATGATCGTCTGTTTCTTGTAACCATTAAAATAAATACACAAAAGATGGTTACAAAATCACAACTCCCCCAGGCTACCAGTTAATTTATGTATATCTCACGATTTTTGTTATTTGTTAACCGAACTGCCTGATGGACTACGATTAATGTCGGAAAAATTCTGGGGCATTTTTTTAGTTAAAAGTACAAAATGTGACGTCACATTGGCTGACGTCACCAAAAAGTGGAAAATTTTTTTTTTTTTTACATTTGCGTGAAACTTATATCATCTGAAAGAGCATCAGAAGAGGAGAAAAACAACGAAAACCGCTTTTCGATACGACACGCGAGTTATGGGACAAAAAAATATTTTAGTGCGCCCCCCGGATCCATAGTTTTTATTAGAAAACGATTGCTATGATATATTTTTTTTACAGTCTTTTACGAAATAAGGTGATTTTTTGGTACCACAAACCTCTCATTGTGGGCTAAAATCGTCTGATTTTAGATTTTCATTTTTTTTTATATTTAAGAACGCTAATTTAAGCAGTACAAAAAATGATCATGTGACGTTTTCTGACATCACAAATTTGTTTCCCAGGATTCTGCGTAGTCGGAATTTTTTTTTTCTTAATGTTTTTTTTTTCTTTTAGCTTTCGACAGTCCAGATTTATTATATGCAACTTAGCATTAGATAACAAGGGCAATTATTAAACAAGACAAACACTCCCGAAGGGGTAGTTCCAGTTTTTGTTCTACACATTCATCCAAATTAAACTGCCATGTCTCAGCTAAACTATGAGATATTGCAAAATTGTTTTCAGCTTTAGTCAACTTCCTTTTATAAGATCTTTGAGAAAAAAACCACACAATTTGGAGATTCAAAAATTCAACATTTACGTAAGAATGACGTCAGCAAACATGACGTCATGACTGAATATTTTAAGACATGCTAGCAACTAATTTGGTTGGTCTTACATTTTGCTTTTTCAGGCCAACTTTCGTGAAAAAAGCTAAAAAGCCGAAAAGTTATTGTAAAATAACAAAACTACCCACGCATTGATGCAACATTTAAAAGAATTAACAAAAGGAAAAAGTTATTGGTTTGAAGAAATTGTGCAGCAAGTGGTAGTAATAGAGATAAAGGCATTAATTTAAAGATGTATCTTTCGTTATGTGGCACTGGCAGTACAAGGTTGTCATACAGATTCCGGAAACAAAATCGACGAGATTTAAATAGCGAAGAAATAGTAACTATATGTAGTGAATTAAACGACTGACTTTTTTCTATTCTAAGATCTTTATTATTTTCCCAAGGTCTTAAGTTATATTCTTTTCTGTAAATAGAATAAATTATTAAATATCCGACAATCTTAACTAACAGCTCAAAGTCCGAATTACGTAGGAGTTTAAGGAACAGACGGTGAGATGATATTTCGATTCAAAACAATATTTTAGTTTCTTCTTAATTGGGATTAAAAAGCTTCTTTCTTGAATCGTCTTAGCACGAGCGCAAATTTAACTTTACCGATAAATTGTTATTTTTATTTTATAGCCTTACTCCCCCGGTTTTTTTTACTGAATAGTCTTACTGTGTTTTTTTCACTGGCGCCCACCTCTTAATTCTGATATCATAATTATGTTATGAATCCTAGACAAATAAAAAGAGGATATTACATGGCCGCGCGGAGATACGAAATTTCTCTTCGAGTGTTGAAAAATATTTCACGAGTGAGCGCAGCGAACAAGTGAATTTTTTTTTCAACACAACAAGAGAAATTTCGTATCTCCAAGCGGCCATGTAATGTTCTATTTATTATATAAACACCATTGAACTACCAAACCATTTCACTTTAACAGTTTTTTGGTGTGAAAGGAGCGATTTATTATGAAGCCATAGCAACGGTGATATTTTCACATGTGAAGATAACATGTAATTTTCACATGTGAAGATATCGACAAGTTTTTGCGCGAAAGCTCGCCTGGTATTTCATTGGTGTTTACATAATAATTCGTTTTTCTGACTCATTATTTCATGGCGTCAATTATGGTTCTATTGAACTAAGGCAAAATCGATTCTCATTTTGACCCCCGATATCAATCCTTTTTTAAGAACGCGGTATATAAAACTTTTATTTTAATTTCTCAATCAGCAGAACGTTGGCTTTGAGAAACTTGAGATTGAATTATCAAGTCGAGTTAGGGCCTCAGTATCATTAACACATAGATTTGTTAAACAAACTGACGTTTCTGATTCACTCGAAATTGTTTTAATTTACACAGCATAGTGAATAAAATATTTTCCTATTTAAACATGCTATTTACAGACAATCGTGTGTTTATCAGGTGATCAACCAGTTTCCTTTGCAAAACCGTTTTAAAATGACCATGGAATACTTCAAACTCGCTTTCTTTTCAACTCTTTGTATTTCTGCTTTATTTTGGCAAGTGCATCTCGCCTGTGATGGCGACGAATTCCAAAAATTTCAAGAAAGGGTACAGATGCGAACTTTCAGTGGAAGTAGGATGCATTTAGCCCCGAACGCTTTTGACCACGAACAAATTTTCAGTGTACTGCAGTGTTTGGATATTTGTCTTAGAACTACACATTGCTTCTCTGTTGATATCAATTTGGATCATCCTAGGAAAATATGCAGGATAAATCCTTTTTTCGAAACACGAAAGCATTTTCTTGTGAAGGATGAAAACTGGAAGCACGTTAATATAAGTGCAAACCATTTAAGAAAGGTATGTCCATTTACGTTTTTATTTCATAAAGTGCACGTCACTTTGTTTTCAAAAAAATGGAATTTTTTAAATTCTGTTTCGAAAGACATTTGTACATGGTTTAAGCTGAAAAAAAAAACACTGGGATATATAAACCATCAAAACAATAACAGGAAAATGAAAAGACTCATGTTTCATAAATATTACATCGCCTATTTACTTTGTTTAAAAGCGTATCTACAAATTTACTGTATTTTACGGACGAAATCAGGTGGCAAAAGGTTAACAAGAAGAAGCTTTATTTGGCTTGAAAACATTTCAGAGTACTAATGTAGACACGTTCTCATTTCTGCACTTACACACAATTTTTGATTTTTTTTTTCTTTTTTTGTTAAGAACTGAACTTATTCGAGTGTATTTACGATATTGTCAGACTTAAACACCCATAGAACGTAAACTTTTCCTGGTTATATCTTTTCTTGAATTATTAGATAATGATAAAAAAGCTTTTACATATAAATAAAATACAATATTTTTCAACAGTTTACTGTATCGAGAAAATTATTCATTTGGTAATTATCGGGAGAAATGGCCATTGTTCTCCGAACATTTACTTAGACCCTGTTTACATGGAGTAGGGGACCTCGGTCTAGTGGGGTAAGTTTCTTTTGTTTTCACGCTCTGGGGGACACAAAACAAAAGAAACTTACCCCACTAGACCGAGGTCCCCTACTCCATGTAAACAGGGTCTTACAGTCAGTGAAAGCTTCTAGGTCTTTCATATCGCTTATTGTTATTCTAAAATGATGAACAGGAATCTTTTTCATTGGTTACCATGAACGCGCGACAGTACTCTTCGTCATGGAGTAGGCAGGTGAAACTAACAATAGTCCAATCTCTATTGTTTTCCCTTTTGTGAGGCCAGATCACACCTTTACGCATTTTCATTACTCCTTACAGATAACTAATGAGTCGAAAATTTTAGTGTCGTTTCCTCGCATTAGAGTTTTGACGGAGCTCTAACTGATTACTCTATGAGTAAGCGGGTGGTAGAGAAAAAGTGGAGTCAAAAAAGATGTCAGTTTGCCTTTAATAAATTATATGTGAACGAAGATAACGCACAACTAGAGTAATCAGTGCGAAGTTTAGAATCGGCCTTTTCGCAAAAAAGAGGGACGTTTAATATAGACAACGATAGCAAGAAATATTTATTGAAAAGTTGTGCCGCGCTCTATAAAGAGAATTGGAGGCTCTATGTAAGTTTTCAGTCGAAAACAGGGTCGAAAATGGTGATATTCGCGCAGATGAAACGGCCAATAACCAATCTGAACCTAGATACGCTTATAACATAACCGAAACTGTATAACTAAGCGTGAATCAGATATCTTGAAAACAATTTTGTCGGAGTAGCAAACGCAAGCCGCAAGTGCTCTGATGTCTTTAAATTTCGCGCGCGACTGGCTTCTCAATGTTGTCTGCTGTTCAACGCGACCCCGTATTGTTTTTTCATGGCAACCATTGTTTCGACTAAGACAATAACTTCACGATCACTCCGACTGCGCGCTAACTTTAAACTTTATATTTTCAAACTTAAAAGTCTGCAACTTAACTTAACCGAGTCAAATTTTCGCGAAAAAGCTATCCACGTGTAGGTAAGGCTTTTGTCTTAAATAATCCGCTCTATAATCTGAAGATTTCTGATTATTTTTGAAGAAATTCGAAGTTTAACTTGGACATGGTCGTTTTCCATACTGAAAATACTGTAAAAAACCTGATTTTCAATGTTAAAAGTCTGCACCCAATTCTTATTTATTTTACTTGAAATTTAGCTGGACATGAGAAATTTCTAGAATTTGATTGGTTTAGAGCAGTGGTATTTCAGCTTAATTTGAAATACCTACATGTGAAAATTACAAACCTTTTGCGGGTGGTAGTATAAACAAATAATAGCATGACTTGTACGTGATATTTGGCATAAATACCACTCGTGATATTTCAAAATTGTCTCAAATTTCACTCGCCTAACGGCTCTTGAAATTACGTATAGCAATTTTGAAATATCACTAGTGGTATTCATGCTAAATACCACTACAAATCCTGCTATTACCCATACTAACTTAAAGAATCCGCTCTATAATGTTAAAGAATTCATCTTTTTAAGTAGCGAAATGGCGATTTTCTGTCACTCTGCTGCGACAAAATCGCCCGTTTTCTCTATTATTATGCCACTTTCTTGGCACATTCATGCCTGATCAGCCCACCTCAATGGCTCATTGATATGCATAAATGTCCGACCATTTCTCCCGATGATTTCTTTCTTTCTTTATTTATTCGTATATTTACTCTATAATTTCCTTTCTTTTCATTTTCTTTCTTCTAACTTCTTCTTCTTCTTCTTCTTCTTCTTCTTCTTCTTCTTCTTCTTCTTCTTCTTCTTAGTTCACGTTATTTGAAGACGTTATTAAACGTAGAAATGTAATTCAAGTCTTTTGATTGAATTGCCTGCGGTTATGATCTCTCTTTCTCGTTACATTGGCGATTTCCAATTTAGTACTAAATTTCAGTATTTTTCTTGAGCTGTTTTTAGCGAAATTCAAGTTTAAATATTTGTTAATTACCTGCACCTTTAGTGTTTTTTTTTTTTTGCGAATTCAACGATAATAATCAACTATCACAAGAGGCAACTGAACTTAACTGCATTAGAAAACGTCCCGGATAACTAAATTTGAGGCTTCTCAGATCGTGAAAGTCATCAATACTAACTATAAAATGAAAACATCATTATCAAACTAAAATATTGCTGTCTTATTTGTTTATCGACAGATGCTGAGGTCAGCTACCAAAGATTGTGATGGTATGGAAAAAGGTAGGATGCTGTTCATATAATGACGTTTTTTCACATCTTAATCCCAAGCATATACTCGTTAAAACAAAGGCTAAGAAAAGATAAAAAGTTAGAAAGTATCGTTTATATAATAGCAAACAAGCAGAAATACAGAATTGTTAGCCCCAGGTACAAGCCATTCTTGTCCCCAGTACTTCATTCAGTATAATCTGGGTAGGTGACCGCAGGCTTAGGGTCCAAGCGGTTCCATCGAAATAGCCAAATGTGCTATTTTTAGAACAACATGCAGCGGGAACCCGCAAATTTGCGTGGCTGTCGTGTGAAATTTCAGGAGATGGGCCATCGTCTTTATTGCGACTTTATTTGAGTATTTTCATAAATTTTCAAGTGCTTAAGGTCGCTGGGGAAACCTATCGTATCTCTGAATAAATTCATAAGGTAAAATTTTGCTTGTGCTACATCTTTTACTGTGAAACTCACAAAACCGTGAGCATCAGTAATATTTATGAAATGTTATTGTGTTGCGAGAAATAAGCCAATAACGCGCGAGATAACTAAACCGCAAACAGCAACGGTAATTAGTTCGCGGTTTTGAGGCTTGCTTGCGTATCCTGAACTTTATTGTGATTGGCCAGTACCCAATCAACATTCCTAAAAATTTTCAGTTGTTCACGGTTTTCTAAGTTTTACAGTAAAACGGTTATATCTCGGGCTATTTTAGAGACGATTCCATAAAAATTAACAGAGACATAGTGAAATGATGGAAGTTTAGATAGGAGGGTTGCTTTAATATTAGGTAGATCGCGCTTTACAGAGATGCTTTAAGCCACAGTTGTTCCATATTGGGAAATCGTGATTTTGTGTCCAAGTTTCCCGAAAGAATAGAAGATAATAGCAGTAGCTTGTGGCTGAACCCGGCTGGAATGGACCGATGCATTGCTACGGTAATTAACATGATGAGAATTTCATTCACAGCCCTTATATTCAAAGTTTTTGTTTATGAGGTTATTCTTAAGGTCTTGTCTCAAATTCAAAGGAGGGAATGATGACAGAAATTGAATTTATTCAACTCCTATGGAGGTAATTTCTGTCGCCATTTTGTTTGTTTATCCTTTGCGCAGCGCCCTCCCAAAAATAGGCAGCTGTTTCGCCATTCTTGTGCCCATTTTGTAAATTTTTTGTGATCAGGTCTATATATCCTACGTTCCGCGGTATATTCGTTTGCTGTCCTTCACAGTTTAAATGTCAATTTGTTACTTATTTTGGGGCCGTAGGTCTTCTATACATCCAATATGCTTTTAATTTTTGCATGGCTTTGCCCATGTTTCTAAGGTTGGTTTTGTCCATATTAAATTTTCTTTCCGAGACTTCAAAGCGAAACTTGGACTCTTGCCCTCTCAGAGACACGTGTTATGGTGTGTTTATGTGACTGTAGTTGAATGTCAGGGCTCTATAACGGAGTGAGCGGGTAATTTTTTAGCAGGGTTCCCTGTTTGTTCCGCCGTACTGATGAGCCACAAGAAGGACGCAACAGCTGCCTACGTAACGCTACAACCCCTTTCTGTTTTTTGGTTCTTTCGGTGTCGTGTTGATGTCTTGCATAGCTAATTTTCACGTAGTACGATCAGCTTTGAAGAATTCAATGTGTCTACTTTGTATATTCTCGCTGATCAGGTCTTCTATAGATCCTACGTTCTGCGGCATATTCGTTTGCGGTCCCTTGCAGTTTTCTGGAAAAAAAATGCGCGCGCGTGTCACATTAGATGGCACAATTTGGTGCTAAAAAATAGCATATTTTGCATTTTCGATGGAATCAATGCCATTGCTGGAAAAGGGAGCCAAATACGGTCTCCAACCCCAATTATGGCTCCTGATATAATGTTATTATATTATTATTGTTATTATTAATATTGTTATTATTAATATTATCATAAATTGCAAATAGGATTTTATAGTTAGCTTTGTTATCAATACAGTTTTTATTTATTCATTGTTATTATTATTATTATTATTATTATTAGTAGTAGTAGTAGTAGTAGTAGTAGTAGTAGTAGTAGTAGTAGTAGTAGTAGTAGTAGTAGTAGTAGTATCCAGCAAGAGAAGTGCATCTGCTTATTCGAAAGAATAAATGAGATTATTATTTGCAGCCAAACAAAGTTGGACGACATTGCGCATGAGCAGACCACTATTTGCAGGCAGTTTTTTGCAGGTCACTTGGTGGGCTCTCTGCCAATGAAAAGGAAGAAAAATTTGCATAGAATGATAATCACAACTTATTGCCTGTTAGCATGGAAAAAATGAATATAATAATGCTGATGATCAAAAAACGATGACAATAACTTTCCAAAGCTAAATGTTACAAGACATTTTCACTTATCAATTTTTCTTGTTTCAGACGGCAAAACCAATCAGCCGATACTGTCGACTCAAGCTAGACTGGATTCTTACTGCGCCACGGAGGCCCCTAATTTGGACGGGTGTAAATACAAAAAAGTACATGATGGAAGCTGCGTTGGAAAGTGGACGGCTAAAATTATCAACATGAGATTGTGCTGCGTAGACCTAACACGTCCGAGTCAGAACTGTTGTTGCGAAATCCCATTTAATTAGGAACATATGAGGAAAGAAGGATGATACTTTAAGTGACTTTTTAAAAAATAATGCTCTCCCTCCATCTTGGACTAGAAACTGTTAGGGAATTGCCCAGGGCTAGTTTTTTTATCATTATTATTTGTTTTCAAGATTGCATACGCGATCAATGCACGTCTGAGCTTTTGTTAAAAGAAAAAGCGCCCCTTTCTGCATGCTAAAATGAATAGACCTTGTCATTGTTTTTGATGCCATCTTGACGAGACGAGTAGGCAAACGTGTGAGAAGTAACAGTGTTTGTATGAGAATCTAATGTGGAATAATTTCCTTAAAACGGCTGTTCTGAAAAACATATGAATTGTAGACTAAAGCTACAATGCAAAGGATTGTACCAAAACAATTTCGGGTGAGTACCTGTTCTTAAATTTCTCCAGAGGCTTGCTTTAGATTTTCCATATATATGTCTGTAATTTTTCCCGGGACTTTCTTACAGACAAATGTATAGAAAATTTTAAAAAGAGTGGTTCTAGGTCTTCTAGCGCAAGTAACGCCCTCAATTTTTTTCAGTAGAATCCTTAGGAGTGAAGCTTTAGTTTAAAATTAATTTTTTTCTGTTCAGAACAGCCGTTCTACGGAAATGATTCGAGATTAGCTTTTCATAAAAACCTGTAATTTCTCACTCGTCAAGATGGCGTCGAAAACCGTGACAAGGCTTATTTGGTTTCATAAACTCAACCAATAAAGTCATTTCAATATAAAGAGTCTGAACCAGTCACATTTTGATCCCTACTCCTACGACAGTGCGATTCGTCCTGGCGAAACACTCGAGACAACCGTTTTTTCCATCTTTTATAGGCCTTTTGACGTTTACAGCAAACCGGTTTATTTTTAGGCACATTTTAGGGCAATTTTTCCCGCGAAAATGAAATCTCTACCACGTCTAATAACGCATTCGAAGTGTAAGATATCAAAAAGGAAAACATAACGTCATTGAAAGGCAAAATTATCACTTTAGGTCTGTAAGTTTTGCTGAATGGTTTGTGGGACTTAAAAGATGTTCTAACCTCGCGCCAAAACTGTTCTAAAAATAAACTGGTCCGTGAAAATGCCGTGGCACGAGTACATGGAAGTTGCTCACTCCAGGTTATGGGCTCCTGACACGTGTAAAGGTTTGAGCGGAAAACATTGCTGGGTTAGCGACGGGTCCTGTGGTTCTGGTTGAATTTAAAGTTTTGCGATTGAATCTCAGATTTTTGGTCGGCCTATTTTCCTTTATTTATAACTCGTCATCTAGCCGGAGATTACCATGTTCAAAAAACCAAGGTCGACTACTATAACGACGACACTAATGATTGATTTTCAATTTTAATTCATCATGTGATAGCGTTCTTTATCCAAGCAATTTTCAAGGAATCCAGTATAGTACGTATTACAGAAGGGGATCAAGACAAAGAGTAAGATTAAGTTAGCTTAAGTTGTCACATAGTGATCTGTGAGTACTAGGGTTTAGACGAAAGAGTGGTTTAGCGGCAGAAACTCCGTGACCTTTTGCTTGAAATAGTTTCGAAAAAATTTATGGGAATACCGTAGGTTGGCAGTATCGTGAAACACTTAGATTGAATAATATTTATTGTCAAAATAAATGTGATCCTTCCTTCGTTATCAGCAAAACAAAAATAAACAGGATACTTTTGAAAAGGTGATTTATGTATATCAGGAAGAGAAGGGGTGCCAGAACCGATCCTTGAGGTACGCCAGGCACAACACTTGGACTGCATGCCCCAGACTGACACCTGCCAACTTCTGTCGATTTGAAAGTAAAGACACAATCCAGGTCAGAATATGACCCCATATGCGGATAAGAAGCAAGTTTAAGGAGGAGCCATTGATGAGAGACAGAATCAATGCCCTTGGAGAAGTCTAGTAGGATAAGATCGGATTCTAGTTTATCATCAAAATCAGTTTTGGCAAGGTCATGTAAAGTAAGAATCAATTGTAATTCGGAGAACCCTTTGAGGAGGCCATGTTGAAGATCTGAAATCAGTGAGTGCTATTCAAGGTGAGAGTCATTTCATTGTGTTGAAAATGTATAATATGTTCGCTCAATAGTCTTACAGATCGAGAGAACGCATGTCAAGGAGATTAGACGGTAGCTGGCGGGGTCTCAACTGGATCCTTTCTTAAAGATTGGTAATTAAAAGAGCATGTTTCCAGGGACAAGACGCTCATTAGTGTCAAGACAAGACTGGGAAATGATTCGAAGGAGCTCGAGCGATGACGTCACTATCTTAAGTAATCAAAGAAGTTTGACATAATTAGCCTAGAATTTTTTCTTTGAATTTTGCATCAGATTTTGTCCTGATCACCCATCATGTCTTCAAGAGCGTGAACTAGTCTAAAACGGTAGAGAATAATATTTTCGATCCATTTTGGTATGTTGTTACGCGACTTCCGTCTTTCTTTTGTTTATAAAACCATCATGCATATGCAGCACTGAAGGGAGACCAATACGTTTTCTCACCTATGTTCTCGTGAGATGTTAAAAAGCCTTAAAAATACGATCGTAACTGAGTTAAATTACAGTGAAACCTCTATTAAGCGAGCCTCATATTAAGCGTACCCCCTCTATTAAGCGAACGAATTGCTTGGTGTGTTTCAAACGTTTCTTTCCATATTCTTAGTAAAACAGCCCTTTATTTAGCGGACACCTCTACTAAACGGACACCAGCGAAGGTCCTGCTGATGTCCGCCTAAAACAAGTTTGTACTTTTGCATTTACACAAATTAAAGAAGTTTCATGACAGGTTTAAACATAAAAATAATTTTGACGATCATTTACTGCTCATTTCTCTAATCAAACAAAAAGTCAGCTTGGAGCAGACTTTTGTGGTTCAAAATCTTTCTCTTACAACTTCTTTGTTAAGTCAGCTGCGGTTGTGATGTCAGCCAAGTATATCACAATGATAGGTCAGTACAAAGCCTGCATACAATTTATACACTGTTGATCAACTTTATTGTCCAACTATAATCGATTCTTTTGAGAAAACTTGCATGGGTTTTTGTTGCTTCTCTGCTTTTTTGAGCTGCAAAATCCTAAACATTAAATGTACAACATGACAATTATGATTATTAAGAACTGAAACATTGAATAATGCAATTCTAGAGCTCGATTGGCTTCGCCATCATGGTATATGAGATGATCATAGCCCACTCGTCCAAAGAAAACAGAATTGAAAACAAAGCCTATGCAATTAGAGCCTATTACCGATTCATGTATCTAACATTTCCTCGGAACCAAGAAAGTTATTTTTTTGGAAATTTATTGAACTATCTATAGGCCTAATTCTCTTTTAAATGAAGTATAGTATAGGTGATGATAATTAAAAACCGTTAGGCCACATTTTGCCATGACTACACCATAGTTAACAGAGCATGTACAGAGTGCCATAGTTGTCTACACTTGTTTGTGATATATGACACGTTTTTGTTAGCTTTCATGGTGACTGACTGTGCGCAAAGTTCAATACCCTTAACGTTAGAACGTCAAAAAACCTTATAGCCAAGAGGGAAAATTTCATTACTGTATACAATCATGTTTACTTCTTTAAATTTAAAATCATAACCTTCAATTCTTCAGTTTTCGATCTTATTCCATAATTCGAATCCAATTTTCAAGATTTTAAAAAGCGTCAAAGTAAGTTGTGAAGAAACATTTAATGTGTCCAAGAACAGTGCTGGCAATATTTAATAATACCGAGTCATTTTAAATCGAATGAATTCTAGGCGATAAGCAAAGTAGCTGAAAATCTAAAGACTACTGCTAAGCCTTTATAGCCAGAAAGTCCTAGTAAATTCAGCTGGTTGCGTTTGCACGTTAAATGTTTTGAATAGGTATTACAAGTCTATTTCAATTTTGGCCAACTTGAGTTCGCGATCGAAATTAGCCAATAGCGTCTCCGCTGCATGTCAATCGACACTAATAACAAAATTCTTTTCGGCATTAGGTGTTTAAGCACGCCACGTGGCAGCAAATTATAATTAACTGCTCAGTGAAAAGAAAACATTGGGGAAAAGGAGCAGAACGTCAGTACTAATGTTGTATAGTCAAGCTGTCTAACCTTGTTGTAGCCCCCGGAGACAAAAAAGGTGAGCAGAGCGCGTTTTAAAGTGAAAATCATTGCTCTTTGATGTTTGTTCTGTTTTTGTTGTTGTTTTTCAAGTTTTTATCATCCAGGTCGTTTCAATGGTTATTGGCTTGGGAAAAGAAACAGAATACACCCTTTTAAATATCTGACACTCGCTTTCAGGAAAGGATGCCTTTGTAACTTGGTGTCCATACACTCACCAAATTTCTACTGCGTGGCCGTCTTCAGGTCTCATTTAAGAGCGTTTCTATTTATCTGTTTTTTCGATTTATATAACTTATTTAGTTGGCCCAGGTAATAAAGTCTCTCTTTCTTTTACTATGCCGCGCGACTGGGTTCATTTAAAGCGAAACAGTTTACGCCCACGACTGTGAGCAATTTATATTCTGGCGGTTTAAATGAGAAAGCTTCAGTTTGTTTTAAGCAAAACGGGCTTTTTTCGCACTGGAGATTAAATTTACCAACCTTTTTGTGACAATCAATCTGGAGTTTCATATAAGCATCCAAGAAAATCGATAGATTAAACTGAAATGAACTGTTAAACGTGATTCGTTTTTTTTTTTAATTTCTTCGAAAGCCTGTACGTTTAGCAATACCTTTGAAATCGATAAGAAGGAGTGGAAATTTTAAGTTTTTCTGTCGACGGAGTTGTAGCAAAGTGCTGTAACCGCTAAATACAGTTACCTTAGTACATCTTGATATTTTAGAAAAATGGCTCACTTAAATTATAAAACTTGTTTAGCTTTAATTGGGTGTCTCAGAGCGGTCCATTCTCTTTTTGTTCTTATTTTGAATAACTGGTCACCTGTTTATCAAAACCATATAATTATACCAGTTCTCAAGTACAGTATTGCCTTTATGGAGTGTAATTTTTCGTTTCACATACATGTAAGAAAGGTCCCAGCACTTCATTATCGCAAACGGATGTATTGTATAATGGGTGGGTCTTAAGCATTTTACGCTTTCCTCCTTAGACCAATTCGGCTGAGGAGAAGGCTGAACTAAGAATTTTCACCTTTTATGTTTGTGGAGGAACCAAAAATTAACCCTCCAAAAAATCCCACGGCGAATTTCCGAGCCTTAAAAATTTCCAGAAAGCATTAAATGATATAACATAAAAAATGAAAACATTAGAAATCATCATATTATTTAAAGTTACTTTTCCACATCTGGTAGCCAATCTAACAACACTTGAGACACCAATACTCAAAAGTCCCTATCTGAATCAAGCCACGCACCCAGAGGAAAATACCTGCCAAATTTTCCTGCCCAAAAAATCCCGCGATCGAAATTCTCAACCTTTCCCCCCCCCCCCGCCCCCCCACACAAACCCCCCATCCTCTCCCCCCCCCCCACCCCTCCCCCCACACCCCCTCCCCCTCCCCCCACCCCCCCCCGCACGCCACACTGTCACGACCGCTACGGACTACGCGAGGGCAGTGGCCAGGTACCAAAAAGACCGAGCAAACAACACACAACGCACCTGTAGCTATCTCTACAACACTTGTTGGCAAGCAAACAAACCCTAAGGACCCCATACCCCAAAGTCCCCATTCCGAACCAGCCCACCAACCCAGAGAAAATACCCGCCAAATTTTCCTGCCCAAAAAAGCCCGCCATTCGAATTTCTCACCTGCCCCACCCCCCCCCCCCAAAAAAAAAACCCTTCGATCATTCCCGTCACTTGAAATTCGGAGTACATCCCCTCTCTCCCTTGGTCAAAATCGGTATAAGGTGTGATCATGTATTGAAAATACTCATGGACATAACTACATTCTACATTGCATGTTACTGTTTGCATGATTTTTCACTCTCCATTGACGCCACAAATGCCGTTATTGTCAACCTCTTTATCATCTTCGTCTTCAAACACTAATCCTTAATGTCTTTCGCGATTCAGGTAGAAATGGTTCCAAACAGATTTCTCCTTCTGCTTGTGATTGGTACAACAAAACTGCTGACATGTTATGGTATCCCCGTACAACGCCGTAACCAGATGACTGCAGGGCAGGATGCAGCTAGATATGCCATTGTTTTAGATGCCGGTTCCACCAAAACCAAGCTTATTGTGTACAAGATCGCTGCTAATGCACCACCGTTAGACGTCAAAGATATTCAGTTACTTGGTGGTTCCAAAGTAAAGCCTGGACTCGCTTCCTTTGCTGGTAACCCGAGTGTGGTTGATGGTTATCTGAAGCCCTTGCTGGAGTCAGCAATGAAGATCGTCCCGGCAGACAAACGCCACTCTACTCCAATCTTCTTATTTGCCACAGCAGGAATGCGACTATTGACTAAACAACAATCCGACGCCATAATGAAAGAAGTCAAAAAAGTATTTAATGATAAAACAAAATGTCCCTTTACTTTTAACCCTGAAACAGATGCAAAGGTAATTTCGGGTGCGTTCGAGGGGATATACGCTTGGATTTCTCTCAATTTTCTTAAGGGCAGATTTATCCCCGAAAATTCTGAGTCAACGTTTGGCATACTCGAGGTAGGCGGGGCTTCCCATCAAAATGCTTTTGAGAACCCTTCGAAAGAAACCATTTCTTTGACCGTAGGGAGAAAAACGTATCATCTCTTTGCTAGGAGTTATCTAGGGTATGGGTTAGACGAAGCTCGTAAACAATATTTCGAGACTCTCGCACGAAATCCAACGGTAAATGGAGTTCTTCAAAGTCCTTGTCATCACAACGGTTTTCAAGATCAAATTTCCATCAATGGTGGAATGTTTACCATCAGAGGGACGGCACAAGTAAAAGAGTGTCGTTCGATAATTCAACAAACCTTTTTCTGCAAAAGTCCCAATTGCCCATTTTATGACCAGCCTAAATTACACGGGGATTTTTTTGGTTTCTCGGGGATATTTTATGCGGCATATGGAACGGGCATGATAAATTGCTGGCATTGTACCAAACCCTTATCACCAGCTATGTATGATGTGAGCTCTCAACACTTCTGCGCCAAAAAATACCAAGAAGTTGGCAGTGACCCTTACGCCAAAAACAACTGCTTTTCCAGCAATTTTGTCTTTGAGCTTTTGTCACAGGGCTATGGGTTGCCTATCAATAAACCAATAGAAGTAGGAAACCAAGTGGAAGGGTTCGATACGGGATGGACTTTGGGTGCAATGTTGTACAACTTGAAACTGTTATAGAGCAGATAAGTTGAGCTTTCAAGTTGCAGTGCAAAGAGTGGTGGTATAACGTTAGCGCGTAAAGCTGAATTAAAAAGAAAAAATGATTAAATGTGGCCATGACAATGTTTGATATTTTTTTTTTATCATACATGGGCGGTCTGGAAATCTTTTGGGAATGCTTGTTTAGGGTGGCCATGGGGATTCAGAATTTTGACATCTTTCAAGCCTTACAAACCTTACTGCCTTACAAGTTATCAATAATCTTAAAACTCTAAGGTCATATAAAACGGTAGTTAATTACGAGAATTATAGTTTTTGTATATTAAAAAAAAGATTTCCAAAAGGGTTTCAAAATTGTTTGTTCATTTGTTAAAGTAGACCAAAATATTTGCAAAAAACGTCAACAAGAGCACCTCAATGTATACTAACCAAATCCCTTCTTATAATTAGATAAAGTTATCCCCATGAACTTTGCCGTGAGGGAACACGTTTTAAAAATGAATGAAACTACTATGAGGCAAAATAGCATTTCAAAAGCGCTTCGGTTTCTAAAGGTAACGGCCAAAAATCAGGATTGACCTCTGTTATGCTGAATTTCTAACTTGATTAAAGCCTCACTCTAAAATATCTCTATATCGCTCTCATAGATTTCGCTCTAACTTCACAAACATTAAGGCACCTGTTAGACAAAAATCTCCCGTGAACAAATTTGGGAAAAAAAGAAAGTTAATTCCCAGCGTCGCTATGACACTGGCTCCGATGATAGTAACCCTGATCATATCAAATTTTCGTTACAGCTGTGGTGGTATTTTTTCCAAATCTCTGTTAATGGCGACGTAGTTTATGCTCAAACTTGGGAGGTATTGACCCCGAAAAATCCCATCAATCGAGCCACCCTTAGCCGTCGAAACGTTTCAATGTATAGTTTAAAGCTCACTATTTCAGCTGATCTACACGGACTTCTGGTTCCTGAAGAATGAAATGTCTTTTCTTTTTTTTTTTCAACCTGGTCTTAATTTTACTGGTCGCTCCCTGGCCTGATGCTATTTTCCCGCCTTTCATTTATCGATTGCTTTTATATAATCTATAATTGAACAGCATATCAGTCCTAGTCATATCCCACCTCGGTGCTGTTTATTTTTCTCAGAATCCGTACCACTCTTATAGAAAACTGAAACGAAAAAGTTATCATAACCAAAAAGTAAGTATATAATGTCTCGTATTGAACAGTTTTGATAGCGTTGTGTTCTAATCTTTTCCCCATTTATAGAAGAAACATTAATATTTATTAAAGGGTAGTGAGGCGAAGCAAGAATAAATGTTATGTCTAAAGACGCCGGTCTGATGCGGCCGTTCTTCAAAAACGTCTTCTTTTGCCTTTTAATTTCTTCACCATTACTGAATTATTAATGGTACGTTCTTCACAATATTGTGGTTTAACATTTTTTGACGATAAAAAAATAAAAAGATTAAAAGTTCTGAAGATCGTCGCCTCGTTTACTTTGTTTAACTGTAATTAAACTGGGAAAAACGGAACGGAAATATAATCTAAGGTTGAAACGGAAGTATAATCTTAGTACTACTTGGTCGGTCGTCAACAGCTTTTGACACTTTTTTGACTAATTTCACACCAAGGGAAAATGATTGTTTCACACAAACAGCACAAGTTCACTGGTGTTGATATTCTTTTGCCAAAATTACCTGGACGTGCTAGTCGTAATTTCAGATTACCCGATGTTCAGTGAGACACGTACTGGTTCTAATTTGATTGTTGGTCACTTCATGTTGTCATTTATTCGTCTGGCAGCCTGAGTTGGCATCGTAGCCCTGGATATTTCCTGCACAAGTAAGGTGATGCTAGTCAATTTAAAGAATATTACCCGTCATGTTTATGACTAACATAAGGGTTTACCTAATTCTTAAGATAACTTACACTTTCAGTCTTTAAAAACATATACCGGTCCCCTGAACACATAGAGTTCCTTACCTTTGTATCTAAACTCTTTAATTAGGGTACACCTTTATTACACACTCCATTTCTCTAATAGACAAGTCACTAGCGTAACCGACATGTAATCTCATCTCTGATATGGATTCAAGAGATTCAGTTTCCTTAGCTTGAATTTTCATACTGACATATCGAGACATACTGGTCAGTTAATTCCTTTGCCTCCATTAGTACAGCATCAATCATGAAGAGCTGTACCTTTTGCATTGTGGAGCGGACAAAAACTCAAGGGTGTGACCTTCAAAATGAATCTCATGGGCAGTGCAATTGCGTAGTCTAACAGTATATTTTACTGGCCTCAGCTGAACAAAAGGTGGATAATGTTTTCGACCGTGGATAAATCTTTATCCACTGTATAGCGCAACTGGTTTACATAATGATAGACAGTGATTTGTCCGGTGAATAATGCTATCCCATGTATGAACTACCCGGCCCTGAGGACTTGGTTAAACATTTTAAAAATGTATCAGACGTCGTTACTGTCACTGAGTTTGTCACCTTATCATCTCTCAACTCCGAGCACTACATAATCCTCACCATGTTTCTGGCTTCAGGTAGAACAATGGGCCCGTACAGATTACTTCTACTACTTATGGTCAATATAACAACGTTGCTGACATGTCATGGTATCCCTGTACAACTCCATGATCAGATCACTGCTGGCTCAAATACATCCAGATAATGCTATTGTTTTAGATGCGGGTTCCTCCAAAACCAAGCTGATTGTCTACAAGATAGATGCGAATGTTCCGCCGTTAGATGTCAAAGATATTCAACTGCAGGGTGGTTTCAAAGTAAAGCCTGGGCTCGCTTCACTTGCTGGAAGCCCAAGTGCTGTTGATGGTTATCTGAAGCCCTTGTTGGACGCAGCAATGAAGATCGTCCCAGTAGCGAAACACGCCTCTACTCCAATCTTCCTATTCGCCACAGCAGGAATGCGACTAATAAGGAAACGCCAATCCGACGCCATAATGAACAAAGTTAAAATGTTATTTAATGACAAAGCCAAATGTCCATTTACGTTCAACCCTGAAACGGATGTAAAAGTCGTTTCGGGCGCGTTTGAAGGGATATACGCTTGGATTTCTCTTAATTTTTTAAAGGGTAGATTTGCTCCTGGGAATTCTGGGTCAACATTCGGAATTCTTGAGATAGGCGGGGCGTCCCATCAGACCACGTTTGAAAACCCTTCTAAAGAAACCATTGCTTTAACAGTAGCAGGAAAGCCATTTCAATTTTTTTGCTAGGAGTTATCTAGGGTATGGGTTAAACGAAGCTCGTAAAAGATATTTCGAAACCCTGGCGAAAAATCCCCCACTAAATGGAGTTCTTCCAAGTCCTTGTCATCACAACGGTTTTCAAGATCAAATTTCCATCAGTGGTAGAATGTTTACCATCAGAGGGACGGCACAAGTGGAAGAGTGTCGTTCGATCATTCAACAAACCTTTTTCTGCAAAAGTCCCAATTGCCCATTTTATGACCAGCCTAAATTACACGGGGATTTTTTTGGTTTCTCGGGGATATTTTATGCCGCATATGGAACAGGCATGATAAATTGCTGGCATTGTACCAAACCCTTATCACCAGCTATGTATGATGTAAGCTCTCGACGCTTCTGTGCCAAAAAATACCAAGAAGTTAACAGTGACCCTTACGCCAAAAACACCTGCTTTTCCAGCAATTTTGTCTATGAGCTTTTGTCACAGGGCTATGGGTTACCTGTCAATAAACCGATAGAAGTAGGAAACCAAGTGAACGGGTTCAATGTGGGATGGACTCTGGGTGCTATGCTGTATAATATGAAAATGTTGTAAAGCGGAGAAGTTATATTAAGCTTTTCATTTCCAGTGCAAAGGTCATAGCCAAAAATGATCCGTAAATGAATACTGTGTGGATGTTTGACGTTTTAGCTAAAATACCTGAAAGTCCATATACCTTTTAGGCGCTTTACAGTGTTGTGGAAATTAAAATTGGCCTTCCAGGCCTTCCAACTGCTTCACAAGTTATTTAGCTATCTTTCTAGTTAATGTCATAGCATTTTCAATCCTCAACAGCGCTGGCTCAGCATATAGGCTCTCCTTACAGTCAGGTCAGATAGCACTGACACATCAAACATGGAGAATGAATCCGTTGTGCCCTAAAAGTCTCTAAGGGTCTTTAAGCGGTACCATAACCCTGAATGTAAGTCTATTCCAACAAAGCCCGATTTGTTTTTCTGTTACCCAGGCCTTCGCGATTGATCAAATTTGCTGCCGCGCATGTCAGGCAGACCTGCCACCCATCAGGAGAAGAGCACATTCTGGAGGTGCATTTGGGATTTCTTTTAAAATAGTGTGAGAGTAAAACTGAAAAAGGTTCCAAAATTACGGTCCATTCGAGTCAGCCATACTTTGGGACTTGGTCGTGAAATTCAGTATAAGAGTATTTGTCTGGCAGACCTTGATATGAGCCCCTCAAAGTTTCTCGAAGCAGCCTACTTCTCTTGGGACCCGTCATTCTAGCGGGGGCTGGGTATGCCGCTTAAATGCGATAGCCCTTAGCTAATAACAGACCACGTTCAACTGAAATTTGGCTTCCTTTTATAGATCAAGGCACCAAAAATCTTTCCCCTATACCCTGGGCTAACTATGAACCAGCGATACTTCATACAGCTAATCCTAACCATTCGCCATTAATGTGCAAAATTTTCTACTAAACGTCTTTGGAAACCCGTTTGCGTCATCAAAGTAGACAAATAAACATTGAATTTTTCACAGGGATAGCAGAGTGAGCAAAACACGCGAGCCCGCGTGAAAATAAAAGTACTAGCCTGAGTATCAGGCGTTTCTGGGGGAAAAGGGGAAAAATGGAAGTGAAAAGGGGAGAGAGCTGAAGGAGAGAAACGCCTGACACAGATGCTTTTACTGGAGCCTTCCACCCCGCACCATGATTCGATACCATTCAATCAAAATCACTTCCGGTCATTGGGTTGTCAGCTTCAAACAGCTTCACGTGTCAAAAAGCTCGCCTAAAATAAATCTCGCCTTACGGTCTGGCCGAGCTCCCTTTTTTGTTGTTTGTGTTGCTACGATTTCGCTTTTTTCTGAAACATACATAAAAAGAACAATGAGGGGTTTTCGAATACTTGTAATGGAAAACCTACCGTGTTTGAGGATTTGTAACATGTTTTAGGAATTGTGCTAGTATAAGATCGCCAACGCTCTGTTTCTAAATAAACATGTCCCCGGAAAATTGTAAATTACTTTTGTTTACAGTATTACAACAGGCGCAGATTAATAAGCAGGTTCCTGAAAGTATAGCAGCTAAAAGGCTGATGTAGTTCAGGCAGAGAATCGTCCGAGGTTTTGTTGGTTATCCCTCGTATAGAGTACTAAAGTGTGACGTCATAAAAATGAAATTTCCGAAATTATGGGATTTGTCAGGATATGCTGAAAGAACAATGTCCAAGAGGCCTACTTGCCAAAAATGAGCATTTGGGGGCAAATTGCCGCTGAGATCGTAGCCCAGTTATGCTTACAAAACTCCATACAAACCCTTCTAAATTTTTTTGGGGTCGACCCAAAAAAAAATTAGAAGGGTTTGTATGGAGTTTTCTGAGTATAACTGGGCTACGATCTCGGAGACAATTTGCCCCCAAATGCTCATTTTTGGCAAGTAGGCCTCTTGGACATTGTTCTTTCAGAATATCTTGACAAATCCCATAATTTCAGAAATTTCATTTTTATGACGTCATCACTTTAGTACTCTATTATCGGGTAGTTGAAAGCAGCTTCAAGAATAAATAGGAAGGTGCGATGGTGAATGCCTAGAAAATTATCAAGAAGCAGCAAATTCCACCACTTCACAGAGAGCTCGTGAAATTACAAGTTCAGTCAGAAAGAAGTGAGACCCTATAGCAAAGGTCAATCCCGTTGGCGAAATATGATGGTGCCCGCTTGAGCTTAAGACATTTCAAAAGTGAAAAACATTTTGGAGGAGGAAGCGAACGAATTCCAGTCACGTACGCTATCGTAACCGCCACAGTCAAGCTAAAGCCTCGGTGCTGTCGGCTATTCTCAATAGATGGCTACCTCGCTCGAATTTTATTTACAGTAACAATACCCTTTCAACGGCAGGATGTTGTAAATCAGAACTTAGATATCTGAATCACTGATATCGTCTTCATTGTCTCGGTCTTGTGAAATCAATACTCGGACATAGTTTCGGCAGAAGCTGGTATATGAGGCTTTTTCATACTCCTAGAACATCTTTTCTTTCAACTACTAGGCTTTGAAAACACAATTCTTGCTCGGTTTTATTTTTATTCCAGGAAAGAACTTGAAAGCGCCCTCTAGAGCCGTTTTGAATTCCTCTCTGCGTCTCTGTCCATAAAAGTACCACATGAAATCAAAACATCGATGAAAAATTTCAATGGCTTCTCCTTGCCGATCGCTCTGCTCGTATTTTGTTGTTGTTGTTGTTGTTGTTGTTGTTGTATTTACTTGCGGTCGGTGACGTTAGGGAGTATTGTGTGTTATCTGCAGTAACTCATAAGGGGTTGAAACGTGTTACTCTCATATGTTTGCTTTGCCCGATGCTCGTGATTATTCATTTTCGAAAGTACCATATTTGGAACGAGAAGAAGAGATAACTGACCAATTAAACTTCGTACACAACGTGACGTAGTTTTACTTCATGTTCCCGCGCCTGCTTGAAAAAGATGGCCGACAAACGGGGGAAAAACTCCCGAAAGCCGAGAAAGCTTTCAAAGGTTGAAACCAGGAATCTTACCGAAACACTGAGCAGGATGTTATTGCCTTACCACCCGGGCCAAACATAACATTATGAAACCCACTGAAGTCCTCGCAACTTCATGAAGTTGTCACTTCAAAAAACGATGCCTCGCGTTGACCCTCTACACAGTAAACTTATACTGCAAATAGGCTTTTAAAATTCTTATATTAAAAGTCTAGAATAAACGGTAAAAAATATTTTCGAATATTATTATTTAGCTGCGTACCGAAAAGTGTCCAAAACCTAAACCTGACATCTTCGCAAAAAGTGATGCGTGTAATGAATGTGAGAAGCATTTAAGCTTAAATTCAGCTTGGATGTTGTAGTCACGATCGTGTTTTGAGCTAATTTTATGAATGAACAAACTCAAAACAAAAGACAGAGAAGCCTTTTCTTGAAAATTTTTATTCAAAATCCAAAAAGTTAATCCTTAAAAGCAATTCGGAAAACACTATCTGGATCGTGGATCCGTTCACTCAAGTGAAATCGGCTGAGCACATGGCAAAATCCAACACAAAATCCATCTCAAATTGGGGCACATTTTGTAATTTTCTTTAGCGCCGAAGAGAAAAATTTATAAAACGTCTATGAAACATTTAAAAATACATAAATTCCCTTTCAAAAACGTAATTGTCTTGGCCATAGAGTGAAAAATGTACCTGAAAATTCAGCAAAAACTTCACTGCCTTGGTTGCATTTCAAAATAGACCATGCGCTCTGTCGAGAAGAAAACAAGGTTGAATTCCTCGAAGGACGATTTCTTGATCAAAAGTTTCCCTTCCTCCACAAAAAGAAAGCTGAGCATTCTTTCGAACTTTCTCTTTCCATTTTTTGTCTTTTAACGGTGTATTTGTAACCTTGAAATGCAGAACTCTTGCCTTAAAACATCTGCATGGTGATCGCGCGGCAGCCATTTGTTGAAAATGGATATCTGTCACTAAGGTTTCCAAATATGGTAAAAGTGAATATTCACGAGCATTGAACGCGAGTTACACGTTTCAACCCCTTATGAGTTTCTGGTGTTATCCAATCACTGCCACATCCAGATTTTGGATGTGTCACACGATTTGCTGAATGGTTTTGTGTCAGGCCTTTCTTTCTCTTCTCCCCCCTCCCCCCACCCCCATCTAAAATCTCCTCTCCCCTAGCCCATTAGGAAGGCCTGATACTCGGGCTATAAAAGTACCCACTCGAGAATGGCGAGGGGTGGATAGGAAGATAGAAAAAGCAGGTTAAAGGCTCCCGCTGTATTTGTATACCACCACATTAATACGCATTAAGGATCAATTTAGGTTTCTGGGAAACTATCTCCCTACCCCTTCCCTAAGAAAACATTTTACCCTAAGTGCGAAATAAGTGTTAATGGCTGTGGTCACACTTGGGATTTGAAGTTGGTAAAAGGCTTTAACCGTGGTAAAAAGGATGTAAAAAAACTTTACTATAGTAAAACTCATCACTTGACTTAACACGTTCCAGATGGTTTCCTAACAGAAATGTGTCACTCAAATAATGAGCCTGAGGACAGGTGATAATTCTTACGACATTCCATGAATGTTTTATTTTTCATCCAGTTACATGACTGTCTGTACATCGTGCATTCACTGAAAATTGTGCCGCTGCTGATACTGCTTCTATCCCATTATTTTCTCGGCCAAATATAAAAGGTCCATGCTGAATTACTTCGTGGCCGTGATTGTCTGAAAAACCGCCCGGTGGGATTACGAAAGTATTGCGGAGTGGTGGAACTCTAAAGTGAAAAGAATATGCAGGTTTCTTAAAAAAAGCGTGCCAACCAAAATCCATGTTCAGACAATAGATAGAAAAAATATGGCTACACGGAATAAAAAACAGCTGAATTGAATGATTTACTTCTAAATTTATGCTCGACTCAGAAATGAAACACGAACATTAGATGTAGGCGTATGATTCCTTGAAGTCCAGAATTTACTGTGGAATTACCTCGAATTAAAGCGAAAATTTTCTGAGTCACTGTGACATCTCTACTGTACTGTTTGGCCCGAAAAAAAGGAAAAGTATAGGCTGGCAGCGCTAAAAATTCATGTATAACAAGAGACTATAAAGGGGACAGAGAGGGCATCCCCCATATACACCCTATTCCATAGGTAATTCGTCTCGAGTTATTTTTAGAATCGGGATAAAGTTACCTCGCGCGAGGCGTGGATGTTTCGTGGAGGTTTCGCATGACCAAACGCCGTGCAAAACATGTCGGCCGAGAGGCAATGAAAGCGTAAAAAGATCGAGAGCATTCCTGAATATTGAAGAGAAATGAGTCGGCGCTTACCTGGGAAAAAAGAATCGCTGGACTCTTTGACAACCCGTGAAATCAGTTTAACTCGAAGTTGTCGTAACCTCAGTGCTTTAATAAAATGAGAAATTTCGCCGGTCTATTGAAACCGGTCGTTTGTACAATTTAGGGAGTTTAAGATCCAACGACGCGGACGACAACTAGAACGTCAAAAAAACAATAGGTT